CTGCTTCTACTTGACCCATGATAGTGACCATTATCATCCCAACCAGTACCCTCTTCAGAGTGCAAGGGGTTCTGTTAATAATTAGGTCAGGGCAGGGGCGCCTGGGTGGTTCAGTCGGGTGAGCGCCCGACTTCGGCTCAGGTCATGATTTCACAGCTCATGGGTTTGTGCCCCACATCGGGCTCTGTGCTGATGGCTCAGAGCCTGGAGCTTGCTTCGGATTCTATGTCTCTGCCTCTCTCTGCCCCTCCCCTGCTCGAACTATCTCTCAAAAATAAATAAGCATTTAAAAGAATTTTTTTCCCAATTAAGATTTCCAGCCCTAAGGCAAGGAGGTATAGAGGCACCAAAAATGTTTCTTCCTGTTTCTTTCATCTTAGTAAAACCCCAGGGGCACTTCTGCCAGCCCCACCCTGCTAGGGGGGTCCTTGCAGGGGTCCCTGAATCTGGAACCTGACACAGAACTGACGTTGAACTCAAGCTCTGAGGGATTGTGGGGTGAGAAAATGAAGGTGATGCAGAGAGAACAATGTATTCCCTCATTCATATACAAACATTTATGGATCACATATACATAAAGGCCCCAGGCCCTGGAAGATAATGAGAACAGTAAACATTTATATAGAGGTTTGCTGCTTTCCTGCCCATCCTCCAAGGATCAAGAACACGGGGATGCTTGGGTCCTCAAGCAGACAAATGTCACCTACAATAAAGGAGCTCCTCCTACACCAGCATTTCTCAGACTACATCCGTGTGTGGATCAGCTGGAGGTCCAGTAGTCTGGGGTGGAGCTGAGATCCTGGGTTTCTGCCAGGTTCCCAGATGATGCTCATGGTGCTAACCTGGGCACCGCGCCTTGATTAGCAAGGTCTTATAGCTCCCATACCATCATCCCACCCAAGCAATCCATGTTTGAATTTTCCCATTCACCTGAAACTTTTCTTGACAGCCTTTTTTTTAATGTTTTTTAAAATCTTATTTCTGAGAGAGAGAGAGAGACAGCATGAGCAGGGGAGGGTTAGAGAGAGAGGGAGATACAGAATCTGAAACAGCCTCCAGGCTCTGAGCTGGCTGTCAGCACAGAGCCCAACGTGGGGCTCAAACCCAAGAACCACGAGATCATGATCTGAGCGGAAGTCGGACTGAGCCACCCAGGTGCCCCATTGACAGCCTTTTTAAAACTGTTGTGACCCAGGACCCAATCAAGGATGGGACATTTCACTGGTCTCCTTTCATCAGCAACAATCCCCCATAAAGTCCCCTGTACCCCCGCCATGGCACCAACATTTTTGAAGAGTTCAGGCTACTTGTCTTATAGAATCTTCCACAATCTGTACTTTTCTGACATTCCTTCATGAGTAGATGTGAGTCAAACCTGCTTGGCAAGAAGACCACATGGAGGCCGTGTCCCACACATCACATCACAACTTGGCATATTGTCCCACCCCATCCCATTTCGTCACTCCATGGTAAAGGAAGCCTTTTGTAACTAACAGGTAATCTGTGAGGTGACACTCTAAAGCTATATGGATAGTTCCTGGACTTTTCTCACACAGCTTTCACATCCATTCACACTCTTTGCTTGCTGTTTTGGGGAAATTTTTTTTTAAAAATTTTAACGTTTATTTATTTGGAGAGACAGAGAGAGAGACCGAGCGCAAGCAGGGAAGAGGCAGAGAGAGAGGGAGACAGAATCGGAAACAGGCTCCAGGCTGTGAGCTGTCAGCACAGAGCCCAATGCGGGGTTTGAACCCACAAACTGCAAGATCACAACCTGAGCCAAAGTCAGATGCTTAACCAACTGAGCCACCCAGGCGCCCCTGTTTTGGGAAATATTTAAACACTCAATAGTGTGGAGAAGTGTGGGTGAATATGTGTGTGGGCATATATAAGAAAAAAAATTGAGAAATCTGAAATCCATTCACCATGACTGAACACAGTAATAAGTGAGCAGGAGAGAGGGACTACATCCTTCTCTGGAACAAATATTTGGTCATTTAACTACCCCAGGCTCTAAGCAGGCTCCATTCTTTTTTTTTTTTTTTTTTAATGACTTATTTATTTCTGAGAGAGAGAGAGAGAAAGGCAGCACGAGCAGGGGAGGGGAGAGAGAGAGGGAGACACAGAATCAGAAGCAGCCTCCAGGCTCTGAGCTAGTTGTCAACACAGAGCCTGATGCGGGGCTCGAACCCAAGAACTGTGTGATCATGACCTGAGCCAAAGTCGGACGCTTAGCCGACTGAGCCACCCAGGCGCCCCAAGCAGGCTCCATTCTTGACGTCAGTTCAGATAACATCTGGGAAAGTAGCCACGTACAGGAGGCTTCAGCAGATAAAGGCTCAGGGCACCCCCTGCAGATGGTCTCATCCCCGCCTCCAGACAATATCAAGACAGCCCTGCTCCAGGGCACCTGGGTGGCTCAGTCGGTTAAGAGTCCGAGTTCGGCTCCGGTCATGATCTTATGGTTCGTGGGTTCGAGCCCTGTGTCAGGCTCTGTGCTGACAGCCAGCTCAGAGCCTGGAGCCTGTTTCAGATTCTGTGCCTCCCTCTCTCTCTGACCCTCCCCTGCTCACTCTGCCTCTTTCTCTCTCTCTCAGAAATAAATAAAAACATTTTTTTTAATTAAAAAAAAAAAAAAAAAAAAGGTCTGCTCCAAGCCAGAAATCCAACCTGCCAGAAGCCTTGACAGGATCTTTCTGAACTTGGGTCAAACCCTCAGTTCCCTGGGTCACATTCACAATCTCCGCCCCTGGAGTGTCAAGATGGCTGGATCTGCCTTAGAAGAAACTAAATCAAGTGCTCAGCCTCTCGGGAAGCAGGAGTGTCTCAAGTTTCCAATCATAGGCTCTCAGATGAGGAAGCACAGAGCTGTGAGGCCTGGTTGCTGGGCAGATCCTGTGGCCTGAATTATTGATGGATGAATTCATCAGGCACACGGCCTTCACCCATCCATTCATGTCATGTCCAGCTTATTGAAAATCAGAGCCTGAAACTGTACATTCTCTGCCCAGAACCAAGTTACACTGGTCCAGACTCCTTAGCCTCCTGTATAGCTGAGATGTTGCAAAGAGGAAAGGCTTTGGGGCCCTACAGACCTGAGTTCAAGGTTCTCTTCCACTGCTGACTGTACATCCTAGCCTGGCTAGTTTAGCTTACCTTGGTAAGGCTCAGTTTCCTCATCTGTAAATTGGGACCATCTGTAAATTGGGATCATCTCTTGCTAGTATTATGGAGATAAAACACACACACACACACACACACACACACACACACAGTTACTAGTAGAGTGCCTGGCATGTACTAGGCAACTAACTCTATTATTCAAACTCTTTCAGTCTGACTCCTTGCTTTGTCTGCCCTCCCCATGAGCCCCACGCTCCAACCCCACCTCACCACCTGTCAAACTTGGACCAGGCCCTGTGATTTTATACCATCTGTGTCATTTATCAACTCATTGTCTCTCAACTCTAAATCCACTCTTTTTGCCTGCTCTGTGCTGATGGAGCTGGGCCTTGTAAGTATTTCTCCTTTTCCAGCTGACATAGTTAAGCTTTGTCTGTACAGTGTACTAAAGGGACATTGCAGGGGCGCCTGGGTGGCTCAGTCAGTTAAGCGTCCAACTTTAGCTCAGGTCTTGATCTCTCAGTTTGTGAGTTCAAGCCCTGCGACAGGCTCTGTGCTGACAGCTCAGAGCCTGGAGCCTCCTTCAGATTCTGTGTCTCCCCCTCTCTCTCTGACCCTCTCATGCTCATGCTCTGTCTCTCAATAATAAATAAAAACGTTAAAATTTTTTTTAAAAACTAAAGGGACATTGGAGGGGAATGGCTCTTCCCTTCCTGGATTCAGATTGGCCTGCTTCCTGGGTTCTGGAAGAACATACTTTCTTTCCACCACTTGGCCCAAAGTTTCTCCAGTGTGAGGTGTCCACAGGGTGTAACTTTCTCAGTTTGTCTGCCATATACTTTCCCCAGCTTTTCATTAGGGTGGGAGTAACATAGCCAGGAGCCCCAGACAGAATGGCCCTGCACCCAAACTCAGATCACTTCTACCCACACCTTCTCCTCAGCCCTACACACATTCCACAAGGCTGTCCATCTACAGAGCCAATCACCTGATTTTTGTCCTCTGGAACTGACTGATGGGAACCACCCTACAGACGTGCCCAAGCCATATGCAGAAGTACACTAGATTCCTAGAGAGAGAGATGTCTCTGAATTATTCATGTCCCTTAACATGCTGTGTAATACACGACTACACACTAACATCCTACACGCTTCGTATTTTACTTATTTTGCTCATTTTATTTCTTGTCTTCCCAACACCTCCCCCTACGACTGCACTAAAAATGCAACCTTCGTGAATATAGGGATGGACTTTTGCCTGTATTGTCCCTGTGTCCCCAGAGCCTAGGATGGCGTCTGGCATGTCATGGGATATTCAAATATTGAAGGAGTGAAGGAAAGATTAAATATTGGATGAATGAGGGGCGCTTGGGTGGCTCAGTCGGTTAAGGGGCCGACTTTGGCTCAGGTCATGATCTCGCCATTCGTGAGTTCAAGCCCCACATCTGGCTCTGTGCTGACAGCTCAGAGCCTGGAGCCTGCTTCAGGTTCTGTGTCTCATCTCTCTGCCCTTCCCCTGCTCACGCTCTGTCTCTCAAAAATAAATAAACGTTAAAAAAATGTTTTTTAAATATTGGATGAATGGTACATGAATAAACAAATTCTTAGCTATTCGGATGAGGGCTTGTAGGGAGCAGGACAGCCTGGGATTAAGGAAGCCGCCTAGGACCGTGGCACGGCATCCTCAGGTCTCTCTCTCGGGATGCAGTGGTCCAGCAGTGGTCCAGCGTTCCTTTCCCGACCACTCACGAGTTGCTCAGCAACTGGCCGCCCTGCCCTCCGCCACCATTAGAGGGCGCGCGGGCGGGGAGCCATGAACGCGCACGCGTGCGCGGCGCGGCCCAGCAAGGGCTGAGGGTACGTCACTTCCTGTTTCTTTAAGGGAACGTGGCTTTCCCCGCAGCGTCCGTCTTCCTGTGTGCGTCTCTGCTGCGGCGGCCGGAGCAGGAGTGGGACCCCGAGCGCAGCGTCGCCATGGACTCGGCCCTCAGCGACCCGCACAACGGCAGCGCCGAGGCAGGCGGCGCGGCCAACGGCACGGCGCGGCCGCCTTCAACGCCCGAGGGCATCGCGCTGGCCTACGGCAGCCTCCTGCTCATGGCGCTGCTGCCCATCTTCTTCGGCGCCCTGCGCTCCGTGCGCTGCGCCCGCGGCAAGGTAGGGCCGGAGGCAGAACCGCGCGCGCCTGCCACCTCCCGCCCGGGACGTGACTGCCGGGGACCCTTCCCCGACCCCGCCCTAGACGGGACAGACACCACCTCTCCCCGGACACTGACCTTTCCCAGCTCGGATCGCCAGAGCTTCCCCACCCCGAGGCCACATCCGGGAGCTGGCCTTAGGTGCCCGAGGATCTGACGCCTTCCCAGATAGGGACTGGCTTCTTCTACCCCTCATCGGACCCCGACACATCCCTCCCTCCGTGCAACATGCCGCAGACACTGTCAGCCACCCATGCGATTGGGCATATACTGTTCCGAGCCTGCTGGCCTCAGCCACATCAGCCCCACCTTCTGCTCTGGCTGCTCCTCCCATATGGGACACCTCATCCTGGCCTCTGGGTCAGCCCTAGTCTGTACCTGATGGGACGCTGGTCCTGACAACTGAATGGTACAGTCCCCTGTCATTCCTCCTTTAGGAACTTGGCCTCGTCCAGCCTAGGGCAAACTCAAGGATCCAGGTCCATCCCTGAGCTGCGACACCTGTCTAGCTGAAATCTGTGACCCCCTCTCCTAGAACCCCCAGATCAGGCCCTTGCAGCACCCCCCAAAAAATTAACCCAAAGATATAACGCAGCTAAGGCCCCAATTTTTGGCATGACTTCTCAAACCACTTTCACACAGCCAGCCCCTCAGAACCCAACACCATAGCACGGCTCCTTTTTTTTTTAAGCAGGCATAGGCCTTTCTTTGCTGGTTTGCTCTGTCCTAGGGAGGGAGCCCAGACCCTACCTCAAAGTAGCTTCCCTTCCTGGGCTCCCTAAGACAGTCCCTCCCCCAAATTTGGTTTACCTGCTGAGGAACTGAGCTGCTGTTGGCCTCTCTGATGAGCCTAGGCCAGATCCACTCCTGACCTTCCGCAACATATGTCCCATCGGAGGACCCTGGCATCTCCCACCTCCTGACTTCCTCCCCTCACCCTTCTTCCCTATATTCAGCTCTCTCCAGCCCATTGCACCAGTGGCTTCTCACTTCCTGGCACCCTCTCCCCTCCTGATCTGTAGCTCCTCCCCGACCCAAACCTGACATTGAACCTCAGAGGAAGCTGTCTTACCCAAAGAGGGCAAGTCCACAAAGCAACTGCCACTTTTGAAACTGCTCAAGCCTGGGTTCTCAGAACATTACCCAACTTGAGGCCTGACACCTTCCTTCCCGAGATCAGAGAACCCACTGTTAGCTCCTCCTATGGACAGACACAAGGGGGAGTAGTCGGGCAGGACTTAGGTGGCCCCATTGTCCTTTCCATTCAGCCTCTTCTAAGCAGAGTTCACATGGCCTTCAATCTCCCTGCCATGCCTTTTGGGCAGACACTTGTGCAGAGGTGGGGCGGGGGGGGCTTCTGAAATAGACCAGGACAAAGGAAGCGAAGGCGGTATGGGACGAGCTGATCTGAGAGGCTCCCCAAAACTGAGTAATTCTCCTTGGTGTCTTCTCCACAAGGATCACTAATCTCTTAAGCAAACACCTTACTGACAACAGAATTTGCTGTACCTCTCTTGTTGTCTGGGGCGGGGGGAACATGCTGCAAAAATGAGTTGGTCAGAGCTCTGTCACCAGGGGCTTTAGGGCGCCTGAACGGAGGAGGGATAACTAGCTCTGTGGTCGCCGTACAGTAGCGCTGCCAGATTTGGGGAGAACGTTTGAGCATCCCTGAGGCAGGGCAGAGAGGCTTTGTGCTGCAGGTGGACTTGAGCCTTGATGCAGAAGTACAAGTTCAGCTAGAAGACGTTCTAGGCAGAGGAGACCAGGTAAGCAGCTGTATGAAGCAGCAGCAGAGGGCGTGCCTAGAAGGGAGCTTCCCGTCCACCATAGCTTCCAGATTCCTCCGCCACCACCTCCTGCAGGGCAAGGGAGCTGCAAAGCTGCCTGAAATTGCAGGCACCCAGGCCCACCATGGATAAGTAGGATATTCTGAAAGTTACACAGCCTTCCCCGTCTTTGGGTCTCCAGCAACTGAATGTGACAGGGGAGCCAGTTTTATTTTCCCTGTTGTGCAGAGAAACGGAGAGTCCACGAAATGACTTCTCATGATCGCTCTGCCAAGTAGGGACAGAACTAAGCATTGCTGGATCTAGTCCAGGACTGTCCTTGATGTAGGTGCCTCCAGAAGACCCACACAAATGGTATTTGGGCCTGGGGGCGGGGGGGGGACAAGCCAAACAACTCCCTTCTTCTACCCTGAGTCATGTTTCCCTGCTCATGTGGCAAGGAGAGAGAAAAGTTAGTGTGGGGACCCAGGAGTTTTGATTTCCCCCGGTGTTGGACCTTAAAGCCAGCTGAGAGAGGGCATGCGTGGACAGAATGGTCCCTGGAGCCAAGTTGTCCGTAACAGGCAGAGCAAATTGTGAAATCATAGGGAGAAGAAGGAGGAGTGCCCAGGAGTGTGTTGGGAAGAAGTAACCATGGGGGGGGGGGGTCTTAGAGGGGTTCCCATCCCTGCCGGGGACCCGTGTTCCCAGAGAGGAGCAGATCCCAGCCCAGGCGGTAGCTGGGGATCAGACGGCTTCAGAGGCTCTTGGCCTATAACTCAGAGGGGCCCCTCAGCCACCCGCACCGGGCCCCTGCTGTGTGCCAGGCTCTGGGCTGGGTACCAGGGGTGCTGGGACAACGAAGGCCAGGACCAGCGCTCCCAGAGCTTAGTCCCCACGGAGAACCAGATGGGTGAGCAGCCGCCTAACCCGAATCCTAATACGCTTCCCAGGGGAGACCGCAGCCTCCTTTGCATGGATGGACGCAAGTTTGGCAAGTTGTGGGGGGCAGGGGGCTGGGAGAGAGGGAGGCAGCGAGGTATCACGGACGGTGTTTAGGGAGACAGCGAGCAGTGTGGTGGTGGTGGGGGACAGGGGCATGGAGGCCGCAACAAGACGCTCGCTCAGGCAGCCTGCAGCCTTTCTGAGCGACAGAGTCCTGAAGGCAACACAGCAGTTCATCTTCACAGTATGACTACACACGTGCACTTGTAAACAAAACAAACAAACCCAAGCCAAGCAGAAGTACAAGGGAAAAACCTCCCCAGGACCACTCCTTGAAGGAACCCGGTTAGCTATTCAGTGTGTAAACTTCCAGCGGTTTTTTGCTGTGTGTATACAAACGTATCATGGATGTGCCTGTGTGTATATACCCATGGAGGTTTATTTTTATAACAGTAGGAGTTTACATATTGCTCTGCGATTTGATTTGATTTTTTTCCTACTTTAGCACTATGTCTTGGTCATTTTTCTATGTGAGTATATGCAGATCCACCTCATTTTACGATAGGGAGGGTAAGCTCGTGTTATAGATTTCCGAAGGTGCAGAGGGGCGCCTCGTGAAAGCCCCCCACCCACCCCCGCGAGCCAGTTTCCCTCCCCAGAGGCAGCCCCGTTACCTGTTCCTTGGACATCCATCCAGGAAATTCTGTACCTTTACAAATACATAAGCACATGCTTTCCCCCTATTTTTGCTGTATAACTTCTGTTTTGTTAGAAATACACTCTTTTTTGCACCTTGGTTTTTTCGCCAACTCTTTGCTGGAGATCAGATATGTCAGTACACGTGGGGTGGCCGTGTTCTTTAACAGCTCTGCAGTCTCCCACCTGTGCCCCACGGCTTGTTCACAGCCCTGGTGATCCCTAGACCAGCAGCGGCAGCACCGCCTGGGAACGTATCAGACATGCAGATTCTGAGTTAGAAACCGAAGGTGGGCCTGGCAGTCGGTCCTCACAAGCCCTCCTGGCAGTTGTGGTGTGTGCTCAAGTGCGAGCCTCCGACTTACAGTCCTCCACGGGTCGTTTAGCCGGGCGTCAGTCTTTTGCTATTACAAACCATGCTGAAATTAATCCAATGCATTTGTTAGTTCACACTTGTCCATATTTATAGGATTTTTTTTTTTTAATTGGTCTTCTGGGCCGACGGCTATGTGTGTGTTTGATTTAGATGAGTTTTACCAAAATTCTGCACCATAGAGGTTGTATAAGTTTACACCCCCACCGGCAGTGACCTCAGTTCTTGTATAATGGCTGCGTCCAGGGCTTTCTGAGCCAAGTATGTATGCTGCGGTCAAGCCGAGGGTTCAGAAAGTGCTCCTGGCAGGGCCAGTGATGGGCAGGAGGGAGAATGGGAAGGAGGCTGGTGAGGTGGTCGTGGTAAAGACTGCAGTCGAGCACAGGATTGGAGTGGTGGGGCTGAGTTCTAGAAACGCCTAGGAAGCAGCATCGTGGTGAAGTGAGTGAGTGAGCGTGGTGGAAAGGAGAAGAAGGGCTAGGGTGACAGAGTAACAGAATGGCCCGCAAGTCCCAGATCATTTCTAGGGCATGGCTAGGAAGCAGTGCTCCCAGAGCTCGGGCCGAGCCAATGACTTGAGACTGGGCATGTCTTCCCTCACTGCTTTTGCTTCTGCCCTGATAACTGAACGTCCAGAATGTCACCGGGAGCTAAATTTATTTCTGCTATTTGTGTCAGCTTCTCTCCGCCCCCTACTCGAATTATGTTTTGTGTTTAGGGAGCTATTGCGTTTGCCTAAGGGCGTCTGGCTTCAAAATCCACGTTGAACTGGTAGAGAATCCTGACAGCTTTTTGTACTTTTGTAATGATGAAGGTCAACTGTTTTATTGTCACAGGCTCCCTGAGCACCTTGCCACCGCTTTTCCAGCGGAAATGTCCAGGTAGGGAAGGTAGAGGTCATCTAGGAAGTAGTGGCCGAGAGTTGGCACATTGGAACCGGACTGCCTCCATGTGAATCCTGGCTCTAGCACTCACCAGCTGTGTGACCTTCAGCAGGTTACTTCACCTCCCTGAGCCTCTGTTTCCTCGTCAGTAAAGTGGAGCTCTTGAAAATACCTGCCTCGTAGTAGGGTTTTTGTGAAGATGAAGTCGTGTAACGCTTGACATCTAGAAAGCTGTCTGTAAATGTTATGCTTGCTACTGTTGTCAGATTTCCAGTCTCCCGTTCAGACTCAACATTGCAGCGTGGGTGTTTACACAGTCACCCACAGAGGAGACCAGATTCTCCTCTTTCTAGTGAAGCATGGGTCCCACCTTGGCTTGTCTTCAAGTAATTGTAAGCCTCTTCCCCACCCCCTTCCCCCAGGTTACTGGGCTGAATTGGAAGGAATATGTGGAAATGAGCTGTAACACCGGGTTGTGGGTGAGGCCAGAGTCCCACATGATCTGCACCTGCAGCTCCTCTGCCTTGTACATGCTTCTCTCCCTCGTACACAGAGCAGATTCCTCAATTTGGCATGTATCTCGCTCCTGCCCTCTACCAGACACTGTGCTTGACCTTCAGGGCCTTGCCTAGGTACCATCCTGTGGTTCCCTTCTACTTCTACTGTATCATCATCATCATCATCATCATCATCCAGAGAATCTAGACAGTGTATGTGATAGCTCAAGGCACAACACTAACTATTTCTAATCCAAAGTCGTAGAATCCTGAAACTCATCGTACGAGGCTCTGAGACAGAAAACAGCATTCCTGGGTCTCACAGCTAAGAAGCAGCAGAACTGGCCTTCTGACGTCAGAACCTTCTCCCAACTGTTTGGCCCTCGTACTGGGTATCACACCAGTATACATCCTTTTTTGTCATGTGCCCCATCGTGTGGTGGTATTCTGTTCACACGGCAGGGTCTTGGCCCCGCCTGCCTGGGAGCTCTTGGAGAGGAGCAGCTGTCTAATTTCTGTTTGAGCCTAAGCTCCCGCTGCAAGGGGCATACTCTGAATTTGTGGAGGAATTTTCCCAAGCCCCCCAGCACATGGCTGCCAAAAGCAGAAACCGAGGGCCGGGGGAGAACCCTGCCTTTCTGTGGCAGGACCGCTCTCCTGCCTGCCCCCCCACCTCCCAGCCCTGTGCCTAGCACACCTCAGCCGTGCGTGTGTCAGGGTTTGGCGAAGCGCCTCCCACTCACCTCTCCCTGACCGTCACAGCTCCTCACACGGTCACAGGACTTTACGGTTTGCTGGGCTGTTTCATAGCCCATCGCATTTCGTTGACATCTTTTGGTCCTTTTAGAGGTAACTAAAGCTAGAGATTGTGCTCCTGTTTGATAGATGAGTAAGCTGAGGCTCAGAGAACAAGGACTTACCTCAGTCACCCAGCAACCTTTTAATAGAGCACTGAATACCTGTGATACACTTTACATGCGTCATTTGCATGTGTGTGATTTTTATCTGTAGAAAAATTCCCAGCAGTGGAATTGCTTGGTCAAAGGTATGTGCATTTGTGGGGGGGGGGGGGGGGGTTGTTTTTTAAGTTTATTTATTTATTTAGAAAGAGAGAGAATCCCAAGCAGGCTCCACATTGCCAGTGTAGAGTCTGATGCGGGACTCGAACCCACAGACTGAGATCATGACCTAAGCCAAAGTTGGACGCCCAACCAACTGAGCCACCCGGGCATCCGCATTTGTGATTTCTGACAATATTGCCAACATGCTCTCTGCGGGAAGACTGATCTACCGTCCTGAAGGCTCCGTGGGTCACCCCTGTCCCCACAGCCTTACTAGCTCCTTCTGTTACCAGCATGGGGCCTTTTGCCATTCTGATGGATGAAAACGGGAATCTCAGTGTGCTTCCTTTCCAGTTTCTCTTATTAAAGAAGTGAGGATGAACTTTTTTTTTCCTGCGATTAAGAGCTTTTTGTGGTTCCTGTTCCCTGAGCCTTCTCTGTCCTTGGGCTTGTGCAAATTACAGTTTGATGCAACCGCCAAGTCGCCCTCCTCAAAAGGCTAGACCAGTCTGTGCTGAAACCGGCAGTGTATATGCATCCCCCCCGCCCATCTCCATCTCATGACCATTGAATGGGCTTGCCGCTCTCTGCCCCCATCCCCTTCCCCTCCTGCAACTTTTCCTCCCTCCCTTGAGCAGAAGGCCTGCCTGAGGCAACACCTGCCCTCTCCGGGCAGCCTCCCCTTTAGCCTGGTTTGTCCTGCTGGTTTTTCAGAGGCAGCTGTGAGCCAAGAAGTTAATGAGACTCTACAGCTGGACATGACCCCTTGTCCCAGGGATGCCGGTACCTTGTTCACAGGACAGAGGTGGTGACAGTGGCATCTTGGGCACTGTGATGAGAAGGCTTCACTTAGATACGGGCAGAAGTCTCGTCTGGTGGCTCGGATACAGACTAGAATTACACATCTAAAACGCAGCGGGGATTGCGCTGGGGGAAGGAGGCTTAGCCCGGTGGGGAACCTGGGGAAGGTTCGTGGCAGGGACCCTGGCCAGGTCCTTGAGGACTGACGCTTCTGCCGAGCAGAGAGGGCGTGGAGAGCACGATGATCTTGAAAGCTTTTGGCTCTGTGTTCTTTTTTACTATAAATTTGAACCAGAATTTGTACCATGGATGGGTTTTCATTAGAATGTCATCTGGCAGGAGTCTGACGCTGATTCAGTCCTGTGCTGCCCCGTTGCTCCACTTCCAGTTTGTTCGGTTTTGACAAGTAGTGATGGTATTTTGACTACATCCAGGTTTTTTCATGTAAATGTTTATCCTCTGTCATCCCTTCACCCAAATCATATTGCCGCCAACTGTAGCATCTGCCATGGTAGATGTAATTGTGGCTTCTACTCTCACCAGATCCGCTTTTCCCAGTCAGATTTCTTAAGTTTAAGTTTTGTCCAGATTTGCTTCTTACGGCCGGGGTCTTCCCACACACGGTGTCAGCTGCCGCTGTGGCTTTGTTTCTCCTCACACCTGTTGGCTAAAAAATTCATCCTGCTTAGCTAATCCAGGAGGAAACTGGGAATCATTCTCACGAGGCCTAGGACTGCTCTGCCGTTACCCGCTTCCAGGGGGTTTTCTTTCAGTCACTACATTCCGGAACTGCTCCTGTCGTTGCTTTTCTCCCCGGATAGACCACACGTGCGCTGCGTCCTCCCTGGACTGTCCCTGTTGGGGCCCAGGTCTCCCCGGTGGCAAAATGGCAGGGTGGGCCCTCTTGCCCCGGACCATCTTTGCCACATTGATGAAGCCCTGGGTCGGGAAGACGTGGAGGGGAAGGAGATGAATGAGCTGCGGCCTTCGGAGGCCCGGACCGCAGCCCCCCCACCCCCCGGCCCCCCGCTCACAGCCGCCTCTCTTGTCCGCTCTAGAACGCCTCGGACATGCCGGAGACCATCACCAGCCGGGACGCCGCCCGGTTCCCCATCATCGCCAGCTGCACGCTTCTGGGGCTCTATCTCTTTTTCAAAGTAAGTCCTTTGCCACCCGTGTGTCATTTGGCTTAAATAACTTTGTTTTGTTTTGCCCATCACAGGGGGACATGCATGTTCATTTGTAGAAACTAAAGAGCAGGGGGGAAAGTCGTAATAATCCGCCCCCAGACCGACTCCATAGACATAACGTCTGGGACTCCTTCCCAGAGTCTTTATTTCTTTTCTCCATGTAGCTGTTTTGTTTGGTTTTCATGATACCGTTTTGGTCGCACTGTACTGTTCATGCTGGGACGGGGGCCCGCCACACCTCTGCCGTACTAATTGCCTTCTTTTTTTTTTTTTTTTAATTTACCGAGGTTTGTTTTCCCAATAAAAGTTAGGCAGGCTCAGTGTTGAAAACCTGGAAAACACAGAAAAGTAAAAAGGGGAAAACAGCAGTCATCCAAAACCCCACCAGCAGAGACACTCACAGGTTCCCTCGGGAGGTGTGTCCTTGTGCTGTCCCCCAGGTGCATGGCTCTCCGCCGCCACGGCCCCGCGGCGCCCTCACTGTGTAGCTGCTGCTTTCCCGCCCCGTCAACAGTGTCCTGAGCATCCTCTCCCATGACTGCGAACTCTTTTCAGGCTTTTGTTGTTGTTTTTACATAACGTGTAAAATCTCTTCCGACTGTCAAAGGAGTAATATATGCAGACAACTGAAAGGGAGGGGCAGCGATCAAGAGGGAAAAATGCACAGAGGTGACGGTCACTGCTGATGTTCTGTCATGTCTCCTTTCAGGCTCTTCACAAGCGTGCTCTGAACCTAGTCCTGGTCCCGTTGTGACCGTAGCACTATGTCGTTTGGTGTTGCAGTAGTGCGTCCCACGCGCTCTGTTCCTGGTCCCTGAGGATCCCTCAAGAAAGACATTTAATTTCCATTTTTAAAATTTTTTTATGTTTAAATGTTTTTGTGTTGGAGAAAGACAGAGCACAGCAGGGGAAGGACAGAGAAGGAGACACAGAATCTGAAACAGGCTCCAGGTTGTTCTGTCAGCACAGAGCCCGACGCGGGGCTCGAACCCACGAACCGCGAGATCATGACTTGAGCTGAAGCCGGACGCTTAGCCGACTGAGCCACCCAGGCGCCCCTAATTTACATTTTAAAAATACATGTAGATGGTTTAAAAAAAGGTTTCTCGTCTGAGGGAAGGTGTAGGTGAGCCCTGACCTTCTCCCTAACATAGTGTCTTGTGAATCACAGGCATAGATCTACACTTATGTGAAAATTTAAAAGCGTAGATCGGTGTCAGATAAAGTGTTCTTACCATGGAGATGTTTTTCTAGCGACACGGTCACCTCTACGTCCTCCTTTTTAACAGCTGCCTGCGGTTGTATTTTGTGGCCATGGCCCTGAGGGGGTATCCAGTGCTGGGATGGCACCGTGGGAACACCGCGCACGCGGTTTCGGCCCCTGGCACGTGTTCTCAAGCGTACCTGCCGTGGGAGAACCAGGCCGCTTATCGTCTCCACTTGTAATTTGAACAGACGGAGCCAGATCCCTCCAAAAAAGGCTACGTTCGTTTTCGTTGCCTCTAACCAGAGCGTGCTGACCCCCCTGTACTCTCGCCTGCAGAGAGTAGCCTCAGAATGCTTTGCCAGCCCGTGAGTGAGTCAGAAACATAATTTTTAATCCCGGTTTGCTGTTCCATCGCTCCCCCATTGCTGGACCAGAACAGCACTTCTTAACGGTTTCAGAATCTGCCCCCCTCCCCCCAAAGCAGATCCCCCATGGCTCACCTCCAGTATCCCCCTCACTTTAAACAGAAGAGGTCACCCCAATTTTTACCCTTAAAAATAAGAGTGCAGCAAATACCATCAGCTATTCACTGATTTTCCCCCCCTGGACCTCGGGTGAAGAGTTGGATTTATTCTCTGCTTTGGTTCACAGCACACAATAATCTGTCTGTGCCAGGCTCACCCCTCACCCCGAGTGCCCGCCTCCATTTCCCACCTTCATCGCCCTCTCCACGAACAGCATCTGCTCTGACGCGCTGGCTTTGTGTCCTCAGATGTGTGTCTCCTTGTAACACGTGTGGCGTTAGTGTATCTGTGTGTCCCAAGAGTCCAGCCTCCCTGGGTAGACCTGGGCAGCACTTCTCCCTGTTGGCTTTCCCGCTCCCCGTGCTTTTGAGATCTCCCTACGCCCGGCCCATTGCCTCCAGCTTGGCTGTTGGCACATACTTCTCAAGTCTCCGCCGTGCTGGGTGCCGGGGTACATACCCAGGCCCTTGCCTCAAGCCCTCCTAACGTCTTCAGTGCTTAGGATGCTTTCCGTCGGCTGGGTGCCCTCAGACAGGCGTTTCTGGCGGCAGAAGTCATGAGCATTTTTCTTTAAGGCTCTGGATGCTCGGCCCGTGCCCCTCTCCAGGCAGATAGGCCCCAGCCCGCCCTGTGCCAGCGGACACAGCAGACCTCTCGCCCAAGTCTCTGGAGGCCCGCGCTGAGGTCTAGGTCTCCAAGAGGCCGCTGCCTGGACAGCACAGCCGGCGGCTTCCCGCCGGGCTCCAGGCCCACAGCTCGCTGAGTGGTTTGCCGGACGGGCGGGCTGGGACGGAGAGAGAGTTTAGTTCGTAACATTTTTCCCTGTCCTACCTTATCCTACGTCACTTAAAACTGATTGTTTCGAGGCAGCTTATAAAAATCATACCCGACAGTGTAAGTCAAAGAAGTAAAGGAAGACATTGGGGGTGAAGGAGGAAATAACAGCATAAAAGGAAGCCTTGGCGAAGGACCACACCCTGACCCCGGGCTCTACACTTGAAGACGTGGGCTCCTGTGAGAGTGGCTCTGAAACCGGCGTGGCTGTGAGTTCCCAGCAGTCAAAGCACAGAGAGAGCCAGGCCTGGTGCACCGTTCTCCGGCCACACGGTCAGGCCCCCTGGGCAGGTCAGAGTTGCAGCCGGAGGCATCTCCCCACGGGCCCACGTGGAGGGCACACACCAAGAGGTCCACCACATCTTCCCAAAACGTGGCGCACGCGCCTGTGAACTTCGTTCATGGGGCGTTTTCTTTTCCTCGTCACACCGTAAGCCGCTGCTCTGCTTATCCACTCATTCTGCAAACATTTATTGAGTGCCTGCTGTGTACAAGGCCCAGAATGAGAAAAACAGCTGGCCCGTCCCTGCCCTCAGGGAGCTTCTTATTGGCTGGTGGAGGTGGACGCCAGTCCGTCACCTCAGTAAACGTGAGGTTACGGTCCTGAGGAGCAGGAACAAGGCCTGTAGCACCAGGAAACACGGAGGAGCCAGCCTGGCTAGTGGGAACCTCCGCTTCTGCCCCCCCCCTGCCACCGCCGCCTCCACCTCAGACAGCAGCGCCTCCGTCTCCCTCACTGCTCCCCCAGACCCCGGCAGCTGTCCTTCCCCGGCCGGCCCCTCAGCACGTCCCGCTTCTCCCGGTCCAGAGCAGAGCTGGAATCTGGCTGCTGCTTGCCCCTTCCCTCCACCCCCCAGCCGGGGGCACCATCCTCTGCCCACCAGGCTGTGCAGTGCCCCCCTCACCCGGCCGTCTGCCTCCACCTTTGCCCTGTGCAATCTGTCTTCCACACGGCAGCACAGGGATCCCCCCAGGCCGTCAGATCACGTCACAGCCCTGCCCTCAGCCTCCAGTACCAGCCTGTCTCACCCAGAAGAATCTATTTCTCCTCACGGCACTGCGGGGTTTCTCTCCCTCTTACCTTCCCAGCTTTATCTCCCGGCACCATCCCATTACTCCCTCAGCTCCAGGCTCATGGGCCCTCACTGTTCCCCATACACATGAGCAGCGTACCCACCTCAGGACCTTTGCACACACCCTCACCTCTGCCCCAAATGCTCCCTGCTCCCACCCCAGTATCCTCACAGCAGCTCTCTTGCTTCGCTAAGTTTCTACTCCTGAACAAGAGGAGTATCTTCTCATTGGGAGGCTTTCCCTGGCCTCCTGTCTAAAAGAGCGGCTCTCCCCTCTTCTCTCCGTCTCCTTGCCCTGCTCTGCTTCTCTTCTGAGCAGCATTGCCACCTGACAATATATTGCACATGTGGCTCTTTTGGGATCCTTTGGCACCCAGACTCCATGAGGGCAGGGACTCGTGTGCCTCATTCCTTGCTGTGTCCCCAGCGGTTTGCACAGTGCCGTGCACATAGTAGGCAGTCATTGTGAGCTGAATTGATGAGGGGTGGTCGTACCCAGGAGAGCTGCTCCGAGCCGAGAGCTAAAGAAGGAAGAGTGGCCTAGGCGAGGAGAGAAGAGCGTGTGCACAGGCAGGCCGCCTGTGCCGGGGCTCTGGCGCAAACGAGGCCCTGCAGAACGGCCGCCGCGACCACAGCAAGTAGGAGAGCAACGTGGCGTGAGCCGCAGCCGAGACGGTCCACAGTGACTGTCGGTGGGGGTGAGGGCCGAAGTGAGGGTGTGAGTCTGGAGTTTGTGACAGCGAGGCTATGAGCAGCATGGGCAGACAGGTGTTTAGACAGACTCTGTACCAGCCTTCTTGTGAGTGCTGGTGCCCCTTTGCCCCATATCCGGGCTACAAACCCTTCTAGAAACAGACTCAGTAGAGGGTGCAGGGAACACGGGGTGAGATGGTAGAGCCTTCGCGGGCCCCTGAATCCACGACAGCGACGGCTGGCTTCGGGACACTGGGAAAGGGAGCTGGACAGTGAGACCGAGAAGCACAACAGGGCCCGTAGCCATAACTTCCAGCCATCGCCCCAGGAAGAGTTGTCCAGAAGCACATAATGTAGAGGATGGAGCAGAGCACGAGTGACTTGTAACTAGTGTGCTCCAGGCCTTGGTGGCCGCCGTAGGGCGCTCCCTAGATTTGGGGGCAAGGAGAAGGAAGCTTGGAAGAGTGCGTTCTGAGGTTCAAGCGGCCGCCTTGGGACTCCGCACCCCAGACCATCCTCCCCCGTGATTCCCACGCGAGGACTCTGAGCACAAATCTATTGCCTGTCTCCAGGTCGCGGAGCCACCGAGCCCAAATGTACAGACCCCTTTGGGAGTGCGTCTGGAGGCCCGAGCTTCCTCCCTTCCATAGCTCAGGAGCTAGAGGGCCCCCAGCCCTCTCGGAGGCTCCTCCTGACACCGTGTCCTAGCTCCAGAGGGTGAGACCAGCCTCCCGAAGGGAAGCGGGGGCTCTGGTGTCCTAGCCACTGGCAACCCTGACTTCCTGTTTCTGTTTTTATTTCTGCCTCAGATATTTTCCCAGGAGTACATCAACCTCTTGCTGTCCATGTATTTCTTCGTGCTGGGGATCCTGGCCCTGTCCCACACCATCAGGTCAGAAGGCATCTCTGCAACATTTGAAGCAGCTTTCTCAGGAACCAGTACAGGGTCTTGGATGAGAACATGACCTTTGGCGTCATTCAGAGCCAGGTTTGAATCCTGGCTGTAAAACCCAAGGGCCTCTTTCCCCTGTGTGGCATCGCGGGTGACCTAGAGCAAGACCCTTAACCCCTGGGGGGCACGGTTTCCTGCCATCACGGTCGTGGGGAGAGTTACTTGTGAGCAGTGACGTGATGTCAGTCGTCACACTGCTGAGGTGGGTGATGCCAGTGCCACCTGCCCGGTGTCGTAGGCGGCCGTGCCCCGAGCCCCGAGCCTGGCCTCACACGTCATGAGAGAGAGGCAGTGCAGGCAGAAGAGTGCCGGCTCTGGAACTTGGTTACCTGAATTTGAATCCAGACTCTGCTACTTAATAGTGACTTCGGGGCCGGATATTTCATCTCTCTGGCCTCCATTTCCTCACGTGAATTTGGAGGAGAATAACGGAACCTTCCTCGTGGGTCACACGGAAAGCTCTTAGCATAGTACCTGGCACCTGCTGTGCCAGTAACAAGTGTCGTTCCCGTTGTTAGCTGTGCTGATCTGCCAGGCCGCTTTTTGAGGTTAGTTTTGCTTTTAATCCTGCGTTATCTTCAGAAACAGAAGCTCAAAGAGATTAAGAGATTCACTAGAATCATGCATTGGATAAGCAGCAGAGCCACGATTCAAACCCAGGTCTGGGTGACCCCAGAAGCCCATCTCCCCACCACCACCCTGCTCAGACTGCCACATGCTTAAGTCTGTTCCATGGGGATGGAGGACCCGGCCAGGGAGCCTCGGGGGGTGCTGTTAACGGACAGGCCAGCCCTCCCTGTGTTGTAAGCATTGGGCATCCCTGTCCCTGCTTCCTACTTGGAAGGTGTGTCCCCGGCCCATCCCCTCACTTGTGACTGCAGAAGTGTCCCCCCACCTGTTGTCATCCGGTCCCTTGGGGTGGTGCAGCCTCAGGTTGAGGACAGCAGACCAGGGAAGTTCCAGAGGAAGGAACTCGATTTGAAGTCATCTCTGAAGGGTGGAGAACCTGGGAGAGGCGCAGAGGCTGGGGGAGGCCGGGAGCCGGCAGGTCTGTGTGCACTAAGGGCACAGTCACGATGTGTCCACGGTAGTCCGAGAGAGAGCTAGGGAGGGAGCACTGGGCCTGTTCACGGAGGCCATTGAAAGCCAGCTGAGTGTGGCCTCACTCTCTAGGCACGCTGGCCGGACAGCGTGGTCGTCGGGAGCCTGGGTCAGGACACAGCTGGCCCCACACTAGGGCCAGTGCTGCCCACTCTGTGTACCTGGTGTGAGCTTCTCAAGCCGTCTGAGCATCCGTTCCTTCACCCGTGAGACAGAGACGCCGCGGCCCCGGCTCATGGGGGTTGTGGGAAAGATGGAGTGGCCGGTCTGGGGCCTGGGGAACGGGGCCGCGCACACCATGAGCTGTGCTTCTGGCCCAGGGCCCCAGACTCGAACTCTGGTTCCTCTGACGGAGCTCAGTGTTGTCTTCAACCGTACCTACCCTTTACCCTCAAAATCTTGTTCCGGCCATCTTACAAGGGGTTTTATCCAGCCCCCGTCCTAAAAAATGAAGGCTCAGAGAACCTACCGGAGTGACCTGCACCTACAAGAGAGTGGCAGACCTGGTCTCAAAGGGCAGACCTTTCTATCTGATGGATCTGGGGTGGGGGCAGTCACCTCCAGGCACTGGGGCCCCCGCCTTCCCCGTGCGGATTAGGATCCCCCCACCCGTCTCACCCCTGCATCTGTGAGAGGCTTGAGATTCCCAGGCTTCCCCGTGGCCCAGCCCCCACCTCCGAGTGAGAACCCCGTGTATATTGTCTGTCTATCTAATTGGTAACTAATTAACTAATTGGTAATTTTGACTGGTAGAAATTACTATGGGAGTAGAACCGGCAGCAACCGGAAGTGCATGTGCTGAAATACGACAGTGACTCAAACTTCAATGGAGGGGTCGTTTTCTTGATAAAGTGGAGAGCACGGTATTGGTCATCTGGGAAAGCCCGACATCCTAAAGCTGACAGATGACCAGGGGCAGGCAGGGTGCTCGCCACACAGGGTCAGGGCCGTCCGCTGAAAAGCAGTGGCATGAGAGAAATTGCTTTCAAAAATTTACACAGCAAGGAACTGGTCAGATGCGATTCATTTTAGCAGAAAGAGAGGCGGGCATACTTTAATCGTGGCTGTTTAGAAAGCTAAGCTAAAGGTTGAAGTTCTTTTTCTTCGTCAATCAAATTGTTTCCTCAAACACTCTTCCCAAAGAAATTCTCCAGTGTCGTCAGCATTTCCAGGAGCTGTTTATATCCACAGACTTGGAGTCAGAGCTCTGACGGGATTCAAACCAGAGGGTCTGAAGGTGGGAGTCAGGGATGGTGCGGTTCCGAGGGGCCATGTGACCACCGGGATTCACAGCTGGTGGGAGCAGACGGGGTTTTGAGCCCAGGTCTGTCCCGGCTTCGTAGCCTATATCCTTTCAGTTGGGCAAGAGTAAAAGGGAAGCAGAGTCTGGAGAGGGGGGCCTGGCTGGCCCCTTGAAGCAGTCACGCGGTCCCCAGAGGACCGGGCAGGAGGTAGACCTGCTGAAGCGCTGGAAGAGCCCGCGCCGAAGCCGGCTCAGCCCTGGGAGGAGATTCTCATGGATCCTTCCACCACCGCTGCCATCCCCTGGCCTGCCACCTGCCTTCACCTTGTACGGCCACCGGGACTCAAGCCCACACCGCCGCCCTTCCTGCCAAGGGGACCTCAGCTTATTTTTATCATCTGTGAGCTCACACCCCATCCAGCTGACCTTTAGAGGGAAAAGGGCCCGTGAGGCCAAAATCCGCCACCCCACGAGGAACAGGCCAGTTTTACTGCCCCTCGCTTTCCACTCCCAGGGGAGAAGGGCACCAGGATGTGGTTTCCCAGCAGGAAGTGGTGACCTTTAGGTTTGATGTGAGCCGTCAGGGACCGGAAAGAACCTCCGCCTGCTACAAGAGTCTGCATTCAGAAGCGGGCAGCAGGCGTGTGTGGACCAGCTGCCTCGCAGGCACAGGCCTGTGCTGGGTGGGGGTGAAGGTGATGAGCACGACCCCTGCTCTCAAGGTCAGGCTCACCCTCCAGGTTGCTTGGCTCTTGTCCTGCGTCCTCCAGCGGCCCTTCTTTTTCTCAGGATAACCACGTCCTCAGTCTAGAGACTTCCTCCTTGAAGTCGAAGCTGCAGTTGAGCTTACAGGCTGCCACACATTCATCCTAAGAGAAAGCTATTGTGTTCTAAGTGAAGAGAGCATTGCACAGAGCAGTTAAGTAACTTTCCCAAGGTCACGCAGTTCATCAGCGGCAGAGTTGGGATTCAAATCCAGGAAGTCTGGCTGTAGAGTCCGTGCTCCCAGCCCCTGCCCTCCACTCATTCCCAAGCTCAGCATCAAGCTCGTCGGGAAGGGGCCGAGCTGCGGTGAAGGGCTCAGCTCCTCAGCCTCTCTCTGCCCCTGCTTCCAGCTCTGGCCCAGGCTCTCCCAAAAGTGATTCAGCAGATGGGGCTAAAAGTAGCTTCCAGCCTCACCTGCCCCAGCTTCTGCCCCCACCTCTTCAGAGCCTCCGGTGGAAGCCTGCGCCCAGCTCTGCCCTTGTGCCCACCACACCTCTGTTCCCAGAGCCTCTTGTTCACGCCACAGCCCTGCACAGGCCTGGAATTGGCTGTTTGACAAGTGGGGCGACTGAGGTCCTAAAACCATTCTTAACTCCACGTCTCCTTTCTCCGACCTCCAGGGTCTCAGAAAGGGAGCTCCCTTTCCCCACCTTTACTGCTGGGCCCTGGGCACCTCTTGGCCTGCCTCTCTCTACCTACCGGTTGGGAGCCCCGTTCTGGATTTGCCCATCTTGTGTCGCCAAATGCTTTTGAGCTCAGGCTCTGGACAAGTGCTGGCGCTGATGGATCCTGCCAGTTCTTACCTCCCTGCTGGGGGGCCAGAGCTGGGCTCAGCCTCTCCCCTGCCTTCTCTTACATCTTGACAGCAGCCCCTCCAGACGATGATATTGTTGCTTCAACATACAGCTGGGAAGATGAGCCACCGAAGTGAGTTGCCCCAGGCCACACAGCCTGGGGGATGACACAGTAGTCTGCCTGGGCCACCCCCAGGGCCAGGCTGGGCGAAGAGGTCCTTATCTGCTCCTCTTTTTCTGAAGAAGATCCAGAAGAGACTTTTCGTTGCCTGCCTGGCCAAGGCGCAGAGTATACTGCATGGTCACACGGTTTTTCCGTAGATGAGGCTAAGCCCATCAAGTCCTCACAGAAGAAGTGAATGTGAGGTGCTTCCCCCCACCACCCACCGTGGGGCTGTGATTCATCTAGTTAATTGAGTCCAGCTGAGTTTATAAAGATCCAGGCCTGACAAGTCGTGGAGTCAGGGATAGGCAGTAACCATCAGGTCATCTTACCTGATAGGTCTGGAAGGGAGTCCAAGAATATGCGCTCTTGATAATGGACTCTCGCGGAGACAGTGAGCGGCCCAGGCTTTGGCCCCTGTTGCTGTCCTAAACATGCATTTTACACGGGAGTCTGCCCCTGCTTCGTGTTTCTTGGACGATAACTAAGAGGCAGTACGGAAGCACTAGGAGTCTGGAGGCCTGGGTTCAGGTCTCAGCTCACGTGTTGACCCTGAGCCCTCTCTGAGGGCCTCTGTTTCCATCACCAACTCCTCCCCATCAGGGCAGCTGTAAGGGTGCCAGAAGGCAAGGGCTGTGAATGGGTGCCTCTGGGGTGCTGTTGGGGCTGTGACTGCCCATGGGGGCCGGTTTGCCAACCTGGTTTGTCTTTCCTTCCAGCCCCTTCATGAATAAGTTTTTTCCAGCCAACTTCCCAAATCGACAGTACCAGCTGCTCTTCACGCAGGGCTCTGGGGAGAACAAGGAAGGTCAGTGCTGCCCGCTTTCCCTTGCCTTAGGGAATCTCCCGCCTCTGTTCCCCTTTGTCTCCAAATCTGGGGCTCTCCGGTAGAGCGAGTGATGGAAAAGGCGGGCTCTGGAATCACCCTGCCTGGGTGCCCATCCATGCTCTGCCGCTTCCTACACGTGGGACTCTGGGTGAACGCCTTTACCTCTCCGAGCCTTGGGTGTTTTCTTGTTGTTGTGGTTGTTTGTTTGTTTTTTTTTTAATCTGTGGAATGAAAATGATAATCTAGTCCCTCCCTCTGAGGCATGTAGTTAGGACTGCGAGCCCTTGATGAGGGGAGCACTCAGCACACCGCCTGGCTCACAGCAGCGCTCAGCAAAGCTGGCTGCCCTGGCTCCTTGTATCATACCCGTTTTTAGTGGGATTACTCTCCCACCAAGGACTTAGAAAGAGGGTTCTCTGGCTTTAAAAAAACAGAGGACTATGGAAACTTGGGGAAAGCCTGGGGTTTGGGGATCATTCGGGTATCATTTCAAGAATTCTAACAGCATTGTCAGCGTGACCAGATGGAAAGTATTTCCAGCGTAAAAGTCTGAGATTGTGAATAGCACTCACTGATGGGCACCTAGCACATTCAACCTTGGCCCTAGAGAGCAGTGATTGTCTGTCATTCCTTCCTGCATCTCTGGTGCATCTGTGCCCGGTAGATGATTGTTGAATTAAAAAATAAGGCTATGCTCACACCACGGCGTCTTTGTGGTCCCAGGGAGGGAGAGGCCGCTGTATCATGGGCCCATTTTAGCTACAGGGCAAGGCAGAAGAACGTGGCCATGAGCTAATTGGCCTCGTGTCCAGTTAAACATTGCCAGGTTGCTGTTACCACAGAGGAGAGAACAGAAATTGGGGCCTACCGGCAGTCCACTCCACTCTGGAATCTGAAAGAAATGGCCGCACTCAGTGACCATGGCGAGCCCCACCGCCTCTGTGGGCTTCCTCACTAGGAATGCTGGGAGTGATGGAGGGCTGCCAGCAACCTTCTCGATTTCCTTCGGTGGCAAAGTAGATTCCTGAATGAAGTGGGACCTAGCTAAAGACCTGGGCTCGGGGGCAGCTGGCGTTGACTGAGCACCCACTGTGTGCCAGGCACTGTGCTGAGTGCTTGCTCGGGACCCTCTCGCGTGCTCCCCAGGGCAGCTCTCAGGGAGGTGCTGCGACCCCCTTTTTTACAGAAGAGGAAACCGAAGCTCAGAGAGGGAACTGCCTCCCCCAAGGCCCCCCAGCTGCTAGTGCGGTGTGTGTGCGTCCAGCACCTCCTGCCGACCCTGTGCCAGGCCTGAGTTCTCTCTGGGCCTCCAGTCCCTCCCCAGGAGGTGGGGAGGGGAGGGTGCTGGGGAGGCTCTGACAGTGCCCACAGCCATGCCCTCCTCCGTCCAGGGGCTGACAGGTGGGAGGGGCAGCCCCGCCCCGGGGAGTGGACTTACCCGGCCTCTCTGCCCAGAGATCATCAATTATGAGTTTGACGCCAAGGATCTGGTGTGCCTGGGCCTGAGCAGCATCGTGGGCGTCTGGTACCTGCTGAGGAAGGTGAGGAGCGGGGGGCCAGGGGGCAGGGGCACAGGTGGAGGCTGGGCACATGGCTGAGCCCCCTCTCGCCCCCTCCCCCAGCACTGGATCGCCAACAACCTCTTTGGCCTGGCCTTCTCCCTCAACGGGGTGGAGCTCTTGCACCTGAACAACGTCAGCACCGGCTGCATCCTGCTGGGCGGGCTCTTCATCTACGACGTCTTCTGGGTGAGTCAGGCAGGGAGGCAGGGGGCACCTCTCGGCCGCCTTGAACGTCCCTCTGGCCCTGGTGGCGAGCGAGACCCTGGAGCGGGTCTTCTCTGGGCCCACTTGCCCTCAGCTGTGAAACAGCGAGAGAACAGATTCCCCACTCGGCTGAGCGCCCACACGGTGCCCGGTGCCTTCCAGCCCCTGTCCCCTCTTTCTTCTGGTGGCCCTGGCACGGCGCTTCCCGTGTCTTCCCAAGCAAGTGGATGGAGACTCGGAAGTTCAGGCAGGGGCGGGTACTGCTGACGAATAGGCCCGGTGGGGACATGGATCTGAGGACAGAGGCTGCTGTTGGCAGCACACGCTGGCACGCACCAGCCCGGGGGTGGAGGGGCACCTGCCGCGCACACTCCCCACAGGCATTGCTGAGGGATCAAGGTCAGCCTGACTTCGGTGCTCTTTCCCTGGCCTCACACAGTCTCTTTCCTCCTTAAGTGGGTGAGCCCTGAATGAGCAGGAGGCCTGGCTGCGGCCATGAGAGGCCCTTTTCCAGCTTCTTCCAATTGCCCGTTTATTGCCCAGAACCAGGGGCCCCGTGAGGTGTCCGTGTTCGGTGGCCACCTCATCTGGGCTCCATGGCCACTCTGTAGCACCTCCTCATGCCCCGCCCCTCCCTGCGGATCTCCGGCAGCACCGCATCAGGGACCCCTAGGACAGCCGCCCTTTCCCACCCGGCCCTCGCCTCCCTCCAGACTCCTGTCTTCTCCTCCTAGGTGTTTGGCACCAATGTGATGGTGACAGTGGCCAAGTCCTTTGAGGCACCAATAAAATGTAAGTGACTACGTCCTCTGTGGGGAGCCCTTGGCTTCCGCCTCATGGCCCTTCCCCTCGGGGTCCCTGGTTTGGTCGGTACCTCTCCCGTGGCTCCTCCCCATGCACCTTCTCCTCCTCCCAGCTCTCCTGCGTCTCCGGCTGGTCTCTTTCCCCTCTTTGACTCCTGTGGCCGTGTTCGTGCACAACTGCCCTCTCCCCGGGCCCTGGCGTCCGGCCACTCGGGCCCAGTGTAGGGTGACACGGGATGAGCTGGAGGGGAGCCAGCAGAGAGGGGACGTCTATCACAGCCTGTGGCGTGGCCTGCAGGGTCCCTCCAGGGAAGGAGAGTCCACGCTGAGCCCCGAAGCCTCACCGGGTGCCTTTAGTAGCTAGCCATGGGCGCCCTCCGCCCCAGGCGGCCCACTGCTCAGGCTCTTTCTCCGTTGTAGCTGCCCGTTATTTGTAAATAGGAGAGCGCCTAGCTGCAGGCACCTAGGCCTCCGTGAGCAGCGTGTAGGCTCCGTGAGCAGCACTGGGACTTCATCTCACGCTAGGGCAGAGCGTCTCAGGAGGGAGTCAGTGGCCATCACGGGGTGGAGTCCTCAGGATCTGGCTTGCTCCAATGTCCACACCACCGTCTTCGGCACACCCTCCTCTCCCAGGCTCATCACTTCATGGTCCCCACCGGCGGCCACAGCCCCTAGCACCAACCCCTCACACCGCAAGCCCACTCAAAGCCCACAGCTTTGAGTTTAAGACTCGTACCACTCAGTCACCTCCTGGGACCCCGAGACCCAAAGAAGAAGATGGGATGGGTCGGGCTGGTGGCAAGGAAGAGGGGTGAGTCCCCGTGGGAGGGCATCGTCACGGGAAGTGAGCGCCAGGGGCCCTTGGCAGCCAAGGAGAGGCCAGCCTCAGAGAAGCAAGAAATAACTGTCCGTCTCACAGTCAGACCCTCCACTACTGCACGCCGGCCTCCATGAGCTAGATGGGCTTCTGGCCATCCCTGCTCCCAGATGCTATGGTCCCGGCTCAGAGAACCCGAGGAAAATGAGTTTCTGCCAGCTTTGGCTTGAATGAACCCATGGGGCCCAGCCCGGCCCGTGAGCCAGGCCCTCCCACTGGGGAGACGGTACCACGATGGACAGGCCTGGGTCACTGCCCTCCTGGGGGTCTGGGAGCCGGGTATTTGAATTGGCCGCCCCCCAGGACTGAGGGTGTAAAGCCAGGCGGCTCTCCAGCAGGAGAACAGATGCTGGGCCAGCCAGAACCGCAGCTGGGCCCATGTGCTGGGACAGACGAAGCCAGCCGGGCTGCCAGGAAAGCTGTCACGGGGGACGAGCACAGGCTTACCAAGCAAGCAGGGGCAGTTTGCAAAGGGCAGAGGCACAGAACTGCATGGAGGGCCCTGGGAGCAGAGGATCAGGGAGGGGACATGGCTGAGTTTAGGGGAGTAGCAGAAAAGAGGCCAGAGTGGGGGAGTCAAGGGTATCATGCCAAGAGGCCTGGACTGCCCAGTGGGCAGTGAGTGAGCCACCGGAAGGCTCTGAAGAAGGCAGTGGCACTGTCGTACTTGGGTTCCGGTGTGGGGAGAAGGCCCATTGCCCTCCCCCACTAGGCCTAGAGCTCGGGAAGGATGGCAGAGTGGTTAAGTCAGGCTGCCTGGTCTAGAATCCCAGATCTGACACTTGTTGGCTGTGTGGCCTTAAGCAAGAGACTTCACCTCTCTGGGGCCTGGTTTCCCCACGTGCCGCTTAGAATTGAATGGTAGGTGGCAGAATTGGAAAGATGGAATGAGTAGGTCTGTAAGTCACTGTGACTGTGCATTCAGGGTGGGTAGGAGTAGGTGGGGAAGGGCCTCCGGGTGTTCACTAGGGAGCCACGAGCTTACCTGAAACCCCCAGTTCACCTCTACTTCCGCATCAGTGGCCGGAGCTGGGCCACGTGACCACCCCTAGCTGGAGGGGAAGTCAGTAATTCAGGGACCAGGGCTGTCCAGATTGTCTTAGCCTGTGCCACACTTGTCCGTCGCCTGGGAAGGCTCCCCCCGCCCCCCCCCCGAGTCAGAGCTGGGTGAGTAAAGAAGGCATGGGGTGGGGGCCCTGGGTGGCTCAGTCTGTTAAGTGTCCGTTTGGCTCAGGTCATGATCTCACAGTTCATAAGTTTGAGACCCACATCGGGCTCTGTGCTGACAGCTTGGAGCCTGGAGTCTGCTTCAGATTCTGTGACTCTGTCTCTCTCTTCCTCTCCCCTGCTCACACTCTGTCTCTCAAAAATAAAAAAACATTTAAAAAGTTAAAGAAAGAGAAAAAAGACGACATGGGGTGATAGTTAACAGTGTGGGCAAATCATCTGATTCTCTCACAGCCTTATGGGGTCAGTTCTGTTACACCTGTTTCACAGATGAGAAAATTAAGGCACAGAGCAGTTAAGTAACCTGTGCAAAGCCACACAGCAGAGCCAGACTGCATCAGTCTGACCCTGAAGCCCATACCTAAGCGCTCTTCTGCTTGCAAGATGCTACGGATGAAATGTGGTTACAGCCACCTCTTGCCATAACTGGACACAGAAGGAGGCATTTGTCTCAGTCTGTATTTTTATAAACAAGTGGGTCGGCAGGATTTTTGCATGGGGGGCTTTAAGTAAAGAGTGCGTAGGAGTGTGGCCTTTTTTGTCTGCCATATCCAGAAAGATCCTGTGGCCGGGGCTCCCCTGGCTGCGGCGAGACGGAAAGCCTTTGAGATGTCAGCACGGCATGGCCTCTTTGGTCTCTTTTATACATGCAGCTTTAGGGTCAGTCCCACTTAACCAAAGGGTTCCGTAGCTATCGGAGGCCACCGACATGGTACAGTGTGTGAGTTCTGGCTTAACAGGCAGTTAACGTATAGTCTGCACGATCCTAGATTCCTCGTCTATCCAGCTGTGATTCCAGATGGAGACTTAGCCGTTCGGCTTCTCAGCATCCTCTTACTTCCCCTGCCCTCTTAAATGCAGGTGTGCGTGTTGCGTGCAACCAAGGTGGGCGGCTGGGAGGTGGTGTGAGCTGGGCTTTCACCAATTCCTCGTACCCCCGCCTCTCCCCACAGTGGTGTTTCCCCAGGACTTGCTGGAGAAGGGCCTCGAAGCGGACAACTTCGCCATGCTGGGACTCGGAGATATCGTCATTCCAGGTGACCGGGCGGGGCGGGGGGGAGGGCACAGTGCAAGTGGGGGAGGGGCTTAGGGGCAGGGGAGGAGCACCGTGAGACAGTGTCACCCACTGGGAACTGGAGGGGTGAGACCAGGCGAGTCCAGACACCCACCTGCTGGGTCAGCCGGGGTCTTGGCACGCACTGTAGAGCACCAGTCACGTGCCTGGCCCCGAGTGGGCGCCAGAGGGACAGCAACAAGCGGGACTGTCCTCAGAGCTTCTGGTCTGGCTGAACAGACTTTGCTCCAGGACTGCGGAAGGGCCTGTGACAGACTGTAGCCTATCCCGTGAAAAACCCGTTTCACGACGCTCCTCATACCTACACACGTGCGCTCCCCCTGCCAGTGTTTACGGGTGTTACCAGTGTGCTGCCCGCAGCCCCTGTCCCCAGCTCCATGGAGAGTGCGCTTGTCCCCCGCTTGTCCACGTGAGCTGACCTGTGGGCCGTCTACATGTGGATGCTCATCAGTGCACCCGTGGCGGGGGGACCCACGGCCTTGCCTTGGGGCGCTAGTGGCCAAACGACCAGTCAGGAGACCCCGGGTGGAGCCGAGCTGCTGCTCTGTGCATCACTGAGGTGGCTGTGCCCGGGGTGCATGTATCTGCAGGCCTGGGCCTGGTGACAGGTATCCAAAGGGCATACCTGTTGCTGTGGTCCAGGGGCTGAGACTCAGAGGATCAAAGCACCCTGGGCGCTTGCTTCAAAGAAGGAGCAAACGAAAAGCCCACCTGTCTTTCACTCTAAGAAGTCAAGGCAGTTCTGACTGCCCAGGGTGGTAAGGGCACTCGCATCGTGACACTTGGGTTTTGTGTGGCGGCAAGGCAGAGGCGTTCCCTTTTACCTGTGAGGAAACTGAGGCTCAGGAGTAAGTGGACTTCCACAGTCTCACACGCTGCCGGGGGCCAGGGCCGGGACTCAGATCAGGGTGTCCACAGAAAGGGCTTCCCTGTCAGAGCTGCCCCACACCAGTAATGACGGCAATCAGGATGATCACCACGGCCACCAGTTGTCAGGCACCTGTTTCGTGCCTGCCACCGTGCTGGTGATTTTCATGCTCCCATCTGTGCTGTTCCTGGCAGCCCGGTGAGCCACAGGGTATTTCCATTTTATAGATGAGTTAACCGAGATTCAAGGAGACTTGCTCAGGTTCCTGGGCACATGGGGCTATGGTCTTGAACTTGCGAGTTTCCATAACTTGCAGTGCTGGGAGGCAGGGAGACACAGCTCCGTCAGAAGAAATGGAATCCTGGAAGGCAGCTCACTGTGCAGGACACGGGCTGCCCCAGGCACCCCCCAGACTTCCCCGGTATCCTTGTTGGCTGTCACTCTGGACTTGAGGCATGCACGGGGCGTCACTGCACGTCCCTGGGTGTCTGAGGCTTTGAGCAATGTCTACAGGTGAGCGTTGGTGACACCCTCCCAGTGTCCCAGTAATGCTCTTCAAAGGGTAACAGGTTGCTGTTGACCATTGTTTCGAGGACCAGGTGCATTGCTAGGAGAGCAGTTGTAGAATTCAGCCGCGGGGGACACTGGGTTCCCAGCTTTGCTTCCAGAAAGGCAACATGAATCTTCTCGCTCCACCCGCCCGCCCCTTCTCACACACAGCTTCATGGTTTTCAGGAAGGATTAACTCATTCCCTGATTTAAAATTAGTCCTGCATCAGGCCGCCTGGCTGGCTCAGTCAGCAGAGCGTGCGACTCTTGATCTCGGGGTTGTAGGTTCAAGCCCCACATTGGGTGTAGAGAGATTGGTTAAGGGTGGAATCTTTTAAAAATATAAGTAAATAATAAAATGAGTCATAGGTTGCTGCTCGGTGCTTCTGATCAGCACAGAATGTTTTGGTTCTCAAGAGCCAACTCGCAATATGTGAGATTCAGCCCTTGCCCTGTCTGAGCCCAAAGACCAGTAAGGGAGACAGACAGCGGTGTGTGAGCAGCATCCAGAGGCTGGGCCAGCTGGCTGCGTCTCAGGGGCTCTCTGGATTTGGGGGTGCTGGGCTGGGTTTTCATGTTTTTTTTTTTAATTTTTTAAATGTTTTATTTATTTCTGAGAGAGAGACAGTGTGAGCAGGGGAGGGTCAGAGAGAGAGGGAGATACAGAATCTGAAGCAGGCTCCAGGCTCTGAGCTGGCTGTCAGCACAAAGCCCGACACAGGGCTAGAACCCACGAACCGTGAGATCGTGACCTGAGCCGAAGTGAGGCGCTTAACCGACTGAGCCACCCATCCGTTTTGAAATGCGGATAGGAGTGCAGTGGGTAGGCAGAGTTCATCCTCTCCTGCACTCCCTCCCCAGAGCCTTCTGATGATCTCCTTGCTCCTACTCCCTCCCAGCAAGCAAGTGCCACATGAGTTATTTTCAGAATCTGTTGAGGTTTTCCCCCCTGCTTGTACTTTACTGCTTCCATGCGTTCCCTTAGTCAGAGTAGAGACCCAGCCCCTCCCTGTGCGCCACGGCCCTGCATGGCTGGTCTGTCCCTTGCATCTCCTGCTCTGGGCTGCGCGTACCCTCTTTGGCGCCCTGACCCGTGCCACAGCGCCGGCCCCTCTTCCCTCTCCCTGGCGAGTGTCACTTCCTCAAAGAAGCCTTCGTTCCCCTTTCCCACTCCTCCTAGCCTGGCGTATCTCCTGCTGGTTCCCGTGACACGGAAAGCACCCTTTCACGTTCCGGCATTTCATTACTGTTTGAGCAGCCTGTCCGGCTCCTGCCGCCTCAGCTGAGCTCTGTGTGTCCCCTGCTCTTGCTTACTGTGGCCTACGGTGCCTGGTGCTCAGTACACATTCGGGTGGGCGGGCCCAGTGTGACTGTGTGGTGCTGTGAGGTGCCAGGCCAGCGTGGGCCCAGACCAAAGCAAACTCCTGGGACTTTCTCATTGTTCTAAGTGGCCCGACGGCAGAGAAACAGGATTTCTGCCGGCAGGTGGCAGTGTTGGCCACACCCTTGGCCCCCAGTGATTGCTCCAGGACTGGGAGCCCGAGGTTGGGGACCCAGTTTCGTGTTAGTTTACTACCCCCACGCCCTCCCCCCTGCGCCTCCTTATCCCAGACGGGGGGCTCTGTCCCCGAGCCTTCCCAAGTGCCGGCTTCCCTGCCACCAACTAACCCTGGCTCTCTGCCCACAGGGATCTTCATTGCCTTGCTGCTGCGTTTTGACATCAGGTAAGCTGCCCTCGGGCTCCGTGAGCGAGGGGCTTTCTCTGGGCAGGGAATTCCGGGGGCTCCCGGGAGGCTTTCCGGAGCCCAGAGGTGTAACTTGGGGATCAGACAGACCCTCCACCCCCACAGCAGCCAGTGCTGGTCTGGTTTTATCTGCACCTTGAAGTTCTGAGTGTTCACAGAGCCTGTGACCAGAAACAAAAGAAGGATCACAGTCCAAAAGCTTTAAACCCACAAAGTTCTAGTGGTATTCAGAGTGCTTTCTCTGTGCGTCCTTAGCAAGTGATCTGTCCTTTCTGTGCTAAGGTTTCTCATTCTGAATGTAGTGGAGAACAAGAGCTCCCACCTCAGTAGTACCTGGAAAATCTGGAGGGAGTGCTAAGCACAGGGTCTCCGGGCAACCCAGCTGCTACCCAATCAGTACTCTTCACGTATTATCAGCCCAGGGTCAGGTCACTGCGTCCCAGCAGGGCTAGCCCCTCCCTGCCCTCTGTTTACTCAGATTCCTTCCGTCCATTGTAGAAAGTGTGCACAGGGAGAGGGAAGGGGGCCAGCTTGAGTCCCCACTCCCAACAGAAGAGCTTGTCCTGTTACCTAAGCACCTGGGCGGCTGGGCCTCCCACCAGCAGGTGGCGCTCCGTCTTCCCAATGCAAGGCTGGCAGCTGTACCATGAACTTCAAGATGGTTTATGAACTTTTCTCTATCTCCTCGTGCCCAGTAATTGCAGAAGCAGTGACGGTGTTGACAGTGATAACAAGCTCTGTGCTAGTGCCACTGAAATCTAATTGGCCTGTGAAACCTGCCCCCTGCTCACGTACATCTGGGTTATTTGTGTAGTAGCGCTCAGTCCTCGTGAACATGGGCTTACAGACTTTGGAGGGGACCTGGCCAGTTCGTAAGTAGACGCAAGTCGATGCCAGCTGGCTGTAGTCGTGGCTGCTCAGCGGCAATACAGAGAGAATCCCAGGAGAGTCCGTGGACCCCCTGCTAGCACAGATTCACCTTCCGCTGCTGGCACCCTCAGAGGCAGGCTCTCATTCCTAGCCTGGCTTTGCAGGATCGGCCAGCCCTTCAGAGCTGGTTCCCAGGCTCGCACATCCAAGGTAGTCAGCTTCAGCCCAGCGCCCAGGCAGTGAAGCTCCCAGAGCACTTGGCACTGGGCTCAGCCGCTCCGGGACGAGGAGAAAAGGGACAGGAAGGACACATTCACGGCGCAGGTGGCATTGGGGACATGCAGAGGTCATGGAGCTGATGTTGAAGGGAAGTCCTGTAACGGCAGTGTGATCCAGCCCTTCTGAGGCTGATCTTGGGTGAATTGGCTCCAGGAAGCTACTGGCACTTGATCCAATGTAGTCAGGGTTCATTTAGTGGACAAAACAGGTTACTGAACTGTTGCATCCACTGTACTGAAAAGGAATAACTCAGCATTGCAGTTTCTGTGTCCGTGCTTCTCTGAGCTCGACTCCCCCATATCAGATTCATCCTGGTAGTATTTTTCAAAATGCACCCTCCTGGGGTGTGTGGAGGGCTCAGTCGGTTAAGCATCTGACTCTTCAGCTCAGGTCATGGTCTCATGGTGTGTGAGTTTGAGCCCTGCGTCTGGCTCTGTGCTGACAGCATGGAACCTGCCTGGGATCCTCTCTCCCCTTCTCTCTCTGCCCCTCCCCCACTCGTGTACCTGCACTTTCTTTCTCAAAATAAATAAACATATTTTTAAATAGGCAGTGGTGCCTGGGTGGCTCAGTTGGTTGAGTGTCATGGGTTCAAGCCTCACATTGGACTCTCTGTTGTCAATGTAGAACTCCTTTTGGATCAGATGTTCCCCTCTCTCTCTGCCCCTCCCCACCGCTTGCACTCTCTCCATCTCCTTCTGCCTCTCCCTCTCTGAAAAATAAACTTTAAACAGTAATTTTTAAAAATGCAGATTCCAGGGGCGCCCGGGTGGCTTAGTCGGTTAAGCATCCGACTTTCGCTTAGGTCATGATCTCGCGGTTCGTGGGTTCGAGCCCCGCGTCGGGCTCTGTGCTGACTGCCAGCTCGGAGCCTGGAGCCTGTTTCAGTCTGTGACTCCCTCTCTCTCTGACCCTCCCCTGCTCACGCTGTCTCTCTCTCTCTCTCCTAGAAATAAATAAAAAANGGGCTCTGTGCTGACTGCCAGCTCGGAGCCTGGAGCCTGTTTCAGTCTGTGACTCCCTCTCTCTCTGACCCTCCCCTGCTCACGCTGTGTCTCTCTCTCTCTCCTAGAAATAAATAAAAAACATTAAAAAAAAAAAAATGCAGATTCCTGAACCTTGCCCCAGACCTATTCAGTCAGATTCCCTGGGATTTGGACCTGAAAGTCTATTGTTTTTTTGGCTCTTTGAAATTTTATGCAAGCTTTCTAGGGGACTTGTATGCTGGCTGAAATCTTAGAGCCACTGTTCTAGGTCATGGCACTGGATACTTGCAACCACTGAGCAGATGGGTCATGGTTTTCCCGTTTTGCAGATGAGTAAACTGAGGCCTAAAAGAAGGAAAGTGACTTGTCCAAAGACCTCTAGCTGGGGCAGTACCTGAATGCCCGGCCAGTGCCAAACTCTCCGCCATCCCGCCCAGCCTCTGTGATCTACCCCAGCCACCCCTCGGAAGAGGTGGTGCTCCTCCCATGCCTGTAACTAACCCTCCTCCTCCTCTTTCTCCCCACGCCTTCCTGAAGCTTAAAGAAGAACACCCACACGTACTTCTACACCAGCTTCGCAGCCTACATCTTCGGCCTGGGCCTTACCATTTTCATCATGCACATCTTCAAGCACGCCCAGGTGAGTAGGGCTGTGCCCAGGGCATCGGGAATGCTCTCCCTGCAGGTAGCGGGGACTTGCGTACACAGGGTTCATCTCCCGCACACAACAGCCGCCCAGAGGTAGGTGCTCCCCAGCGGTGTCAGGGTGCGCGTGTCTGTGACCCTGGGTCCTTCCCCCGTGGCTGTCTGCGGGTGCCGCCACTGCTCCCGGTACCACAGGCACACAAGTGGCGAGGGGGAGGAGCACAGATACCCGCCATGCCTGTCACCTTCATCAGGAAGGCAGTCCCTCTCCCAGAACGCTCTTGGCAGAGCTTTGCTCGAATCTCATGGGCCAGATCGGTGTCCCATGGTCCCTACTTCAGGGAGCCCAGGAAAGAGGGGCTCCGGCTTCTGAGCCTCAGTAGTGGGGCCAGTGGAACAGTGTCGAGTGGGTGTCTCAGCCCAATGCCCAACCTACCAGATGAGAGGTAAGCTGTTTGGGGCCCTCTCCGCTGACTCCCCAAGCATCCAGCCTCTGCTTCTGCCTCCCGCCAAGGCGGGTACTGAGCCGCCACAGAGTGAAGCAGGGTGGGCTGAGGGCGGAGAGCTGTTATTGAGACCTGAGGAGACCTGAGGAAGGGGAGACCGGGAGGGAACTGCCAGTACACTGAGAAGCAGCCCTTCCCATGCACCAGTCTCTGCTCAGTTCTTCGAGAGGGTCCTCGAGGGCAGATAAGGGGAAGGAGGTCCGGTGAGCCAGGATCCCAGAGTGTGGAAACCAAGCCAGGCTCTGAGCCAGGCAGCAGGCGAGGCCAAGGGGAAACGAAGGCCAAGGGGACTCTGGTGGGAGGAAGTCCCGCCCCCCCCCCCCCCCCCCCCCCCCCGTCTGTTCACGGCAGGAGTCTTGCTTGATTTCCTTCGGTGGTCATTTAAAAAAAAAAACGGAAGAATAGTAATCGTTGCCAGCCTGCCTGGAGTTTTGTGAGGATGAAATGAGTTGGTGTTGGGAAAGTGCTCACGATTGTGCCTGGCCCAGGTAGTATTAGCTGTCCTTGTTGTCACTGTCCTCTCCATCCTCCACTCCCCCTGCTCCCCTCCCCTCTTTCCCCCCTCCCCGGGTCACCAGCCACAGAGAAGCCACCTTTGAGTTAATCACAAGAGCTGTTTGTGGGGCACTTACTCTGTGCCAGGCGCTGTGCTAAACCCTTTTGCTCATTAACTCGTTTAGTCCCTACAGTACCTACAACATTTGTGAGCTAAACAGTAGTAGTCTCATTCTACACAATATCCAAGGTCCAGAGTCCCCCCACCTTCCAGCCTGTGGGTGGAGAAACCAAGAACCAGTGAGGAACCAGCCTCTTACTTGCTTCTGCTCGGCCTGGAAGCCGAAAGGGACACACAACAGACAAGGAGGTCACCGAGAGTGACTGGACGTGGCTTGGGGGACTACCTCAGAGTCCTGTGGGAGGTCTCAGATTCCAAGCCCAGAGCCATTCCCCCAGAGGCCACCAGGTGGCAGCCTTGCCCTCTGCCTTGGCTAGACTTGAGGATCCCCTTGGGAATCCCCCTCCCCCACACACTGGCTGGAGAGGTGGCCCTCTGTGCCGGGACACTGTAGCCCAGAGACCGAACGGGACCTCCCGGGTCACACAGCAAGTTGAGCCGGGCCCTAAGTGGAGCCCCGGACTCGGCCCCTGGCCCCAGGCCTGTGCTGCCCACTAGCAGCAGCCCAGTCCTTGCCCCATCATCCACGAGGGCGTCCCCCTGGAAATCTTGGGAAGGGGCTCCAGGCCACAAGGGCGACCTGTTTCTCGAAGACCCTCTTCCTCTCCATGACACAGGCAGCCCCGGCGCCGGCAGCTCCCTAGGTGGGAGTCCCTGCGGTGCTGCTTATGTGGTTTACAACCCCCGTAGCCTCTACCCAAAAACCCCCTCCAAGCCAGGGGTCTGGCAGCCTCCCAAAAAGGCCCCCTTCCAGATGATCATGTGATCTCGTCATACAGAGAGAGGGAAGCAGTTTAGTCATAGCCACACAGCAGAGTGGAGGCCGGATGGGGAGCCAGGAGCCCAACGCCCAGCTCACCATCCGGAGCTATACATCCCAGCCTCTCCTCGGCGCCTACTTTGAAGAGGGTCCTTGGTGCCTTGAGAGGAAAGAAAATAATAGGCTCTCAGAGGAGCTTTCAGGGGCCCCCGGCCCTTAAGGGCTGTCCTTTCCCTCTTCTGATCTCAGTCTCTTTGTAAAGTGAATATGGGGAAATATTTTGAGAAATTGAATTCTAATAAGTTACATCTGTTTCATTTTCTATTTCACAAATTTATGCTTTTGCCTTCATTATTTTCTTTCTACTTTTTGGTGTTTTATTCTTTTTTCGGCTTCTTGACTTAAAAGCTAAAATTAATTCAAGTCTTTGGTGTTTTCTAATAAATGCGCCTAGAGATAATACATTTTCCTCTGAGTACTGCTTTGGCTGCTTCTCACAGGTTTTGGTGTGGACTTTTGTCATTGTCATTTCTATCACTTTCCAAAAGGCCTAAAAGCCTAACTCACCCAAATCCTGACTCACAGCAAATACCTAATATAGTGGGAAGAGCTCAGCCATTTACACAGCTCGTGTGGCCTTAGGTGAGTCATTTCTCCTAATCTAAACCTCTATAGCATCGTCTGTAGAGCCCAAATTGTGTTATTAGCTCCAAGAGTAGTACATGTGAAGTGATGTGGTTCACAGCCCGTGCGTGGCAAGTGCCAAGAAACGGTCTGAAGGTCAGGCCTGGGGAGCTGCGGAGCCCTGGCCTCTGACCAGGGCCTGGCTTCACCTTCAGAGAACGGTCTCCACACCTTACCCCAGTCCTCTCCTCTTAACTTTATGAGCACCCATGAAGAAGCTGTCTGGTTAGAATTTACCAGGCCTCCTTCCGGAACTCCAGGAATAGAGCAGTGCCCGAGACGGCTGTGGACCCAGCCCTCATGAAGTTCACAGGCTAGCAGCGGAGAGACCCAAGCCTGTAATGACACAGCAGCGTTCCACTCCAGATTGCCAGGGAACGCTGCAGGGCACGGCCGGGGCCCTGAGGGGACGAAAGGGCCTGGCTCCGTGCCAGGGAAGGCTTCCCCAGAAAAGTAAAAGTGAGCAGAGGTCCGAAGGAGGAGGAATCTAGACAGAAGAGGGAAGAGCATTGCAGGCAGCGGAAACTGCTTGTGCAGAGGTCCTGTGGCTGGAGGTGACAAGGAGGCCCCAAAGCAGGATCATTGTGGCCAGAGTAGGGCGGGTCAGGTGACACTGGAGAAGGAAGCGGTGTCACATCTCACAGGGACTGCAGGCCCCTGGGAGCACTGGTGGTCATGGAGGGTTGGGCAGTCATGTCCAGCTTTCAGGTGCTGTGGGGAAAAGAATAGCTTTGGAGTCTGGTACGCCTGAGGTCCAGCCCCCAGTTTACGAGGCCTGTGCCATCCCATCCTCCCGAAGCATCCTCCTGTAAGCAAGACGGACTGAAATGCTCCTTGGGAGGCTGAGCTCCATGCAGCGTGCACAGCACGTGCCCCATCCTGTGCTCCAAACCCGGCTTCCACAGAAGCCTCCGCACAGGCTCTAGGGCCACACTGCCTGGGTCAGGGTGTTATAACAGCACCTTCTGGAGTGTTGGTTAAGGACACAGACTTCCACCCTGAGGCCTGAGCTCGGCACCTGCCCTCACCCTCTGGCTCGTCCATTCTCAGCCACCCCCCTGGTCTCTGGGACTAGGACCCACCCAGGAGGTTGCTTGTTTGAACCTGATGTCCCAGGTGATTAGGCTACTGCCAGCCAGACCCCTGGGCACCCTTAAAGCCCTGCGTGCTTGAGTTTCTTTGGGTTCCTTGCATTCCCTCCCAGGGAGGAGCACCCTGGTCAGAGAGCCGGGAGCCCCAGGGGAGGGCCCAGCCACAGACGGTGCTCTGGGAACCTGGGCAGTCACTGTCCCTCAGTCACACCCAGGAGAGGGTTGGAGTGATGGGCGTGGCCCTGGGCAGGTACCCTGTCCAGCATTTCATCACCGGCCTCTGTTCTCTCGTAGCCTGCCCTTCTATACCTGGTCCCCGCCTGCATTGGCTTTCCTGTCCTGGTGGCACTGGCCAAGGGAGAAGTGACAGAGATGTTCAGGTAAGGCGGGGCGGGGGGGGCAGACGTCCTCACGGCTCAGGTGCACCTGCAGGCGGCCAGCGGAGCCTGCCGGGGCTGCTCGTACACGTCTCCAGGGGAACATTGTTCCCGCCACCAGCCCCACCTCTTGTCCTTTCTGCCAGCACGTGGGTGCCCGGCCTGTGGCGCCAGCGGGAACCTTTCCTCGGGCTGCGAGCCAGGGGAGGGCAGCCCCCACATCCAGATGCCTGCTGGGGCTTGAGAAGAGACTGGCTAGGATAGTTCCCCTGAGGCTGCCCCGCTGTCAGGTGCCCTGGGTTCCCAGCCCGACTCTGCCACCACTTGACTTCAGGCATGTCCTCCCCTTCCCTGGCCTCAGCTTTCCCATGTGAGTAATAGGGAGGGTCCTAGTGCGGTGGGAGGTACCCCGGATTGGAAATCCAAGGTCAGTCCCTGTTGAGCCGCCTCAGTGGCTCTAACCCACAGCCCCATCTCAGCGAATGTGTCGCTCGCACACATACATACCCCTTCCCCGTGGCCCTATGCACACCGGCCACACCTGGTGCACAGCCCCACCCGTACCCCAGGGCCTGCGTGACTCTGACAGGTGTCTGCTCCCCAGCACCCCTGACCCGGCCTGCCAGGAACCCAGAAATAACTGCCAGCTGCGACTGAAGCTGCCCACTCGGGGGCCTCCCTCCCAGCTCCACCTGCCTGGCCTCCGAGTTGTCCCTCAAGCGCCTGCCAGGGCCATCTGTGCACCTGGCTGCCTGCAGGGGAACCTGTGACTCACCCCTCCCCCGTACCTGCCTCTGCCCTCCCTATCTTGCCCAGGAGCCCCAGGCTCCCAACCTGCCCGCCAGAGCCTCCTGGCCTGGCTGGGCCCTGTGGGCTCTGAGGCAAGGCTGGGGGATGAACTCAGAGGCGGGTCTGGCGGCAGGGGTGGGATCTGATCTGACACGTGAGCTCAGCATCTGCCCTTGCCCTCTGGCTCCTCCGTTCTCAGCCACCCCCCTGCCGTGTTGTAAGCCCCTCCCACCAGTCCCTGTCCTGCTGTGTCCACACTGGGCCAAGCAGCCAGGGCGCCTGCTCGGTGCTGGGGGTCCCTGAATATCCTCCCCCCACTTAGGCGCCTTACGCCCCTTCTGCCCCTGCCCCCGGGAGACTCTCGGCTTCAGGTGAGAAAGCAGGTGGGCTCTCTCTTTCTCCATCTCTCCCCAGTTCTCCACCTTACCTTCCGTTTTCCTCTTCCCTTAAGAGGCATTCTCCTCTTTTTTAGTCACTTGTTTATTTTTAAGTACATAACACAGTCACGTGGCTCCAAATTTCACAGCCACGGAAAGGAAAACCCCTCTGTTGCATAGCCCTTCAGAGAGCGCTTCGCTGCTAAGGGCACAGGCGCCCTGCTCACCCATGCAGCCGGTGGCACCCGGAGCATCCTGCATCCGGGCTTTTCACACGACAGTAGATCTCAGAGATGTTTCTGCAGCAGCACGTGCTCATTGAGAACGTCCTTGTTCTTTTGCACAATTGCATAGTGTCCCCTCGTACGGGTGCGTCTTTTTTATCCTCTAGTAATTTCTGGCTTTTTTCCGCGGAGTCCGAAAGTGCCGCAGAAGACACAAATAAGACCCGGCTCTGCATCCTGCTCCTTGCAAGGGAAGTCTCTCTCCTCCCCCGTCCTTTCCTCTCCATCTCTTTTTTCCTGTCTTCTCTGTCTCTCACACAGCTACGAGTCCTCGGCGGAAATCCTGCCTCACACCCCGAGACTCACCCACTTCCCCACAGTCTCGGGCTCCCCAGCCAGCCTGGCCGACTCCATGCAGCAGAAGCTAGCTGGCCCTCGCCGCCGGCGCCCGCAGAATGCCAGCGCTCTGTAATGCCCGGCGGGTGCCCACCTGCCCGCTTCCCCCCCACTGCCCCGGGGCCCAAGGTAGGGCAGACAGCCAAGCTCCAGGGCCCGGGGTAGGGAGCGTGACCAGGGCAGTCACTACCCCAGCCTCGGGGCCGGGGGCAGGGCTCTAGAACCTCACTGTCCTCACTGGTAGCACGGGGCTCGTGCAAGAGAGCAGGCAGTGACAGCCCTGGTCGTCTCGGAGTAGATGCCCCTGCACGTAACCCCGGGCAGATCACTCTCCTCTCTGGAGCCTCTCCCTGTTCATCTGTAAGTGGGCACATTCCCACCTCACGGGAGTCCCCTGGGGAAGAGACACAGGTCCTTGGTGTGAGCTCAGGTGTTCAGCAAGTGGGGCCCATAGCAAGAGCTAAGCCAGGGTGGCGGCCTTCAAGAGTGGCACCATGCCGTCTGCCAGTAGTGCGACCCCCTGCCTGCCTGCACCCCTGGGGCTGACCGGGGGGAATCCTGGCCATACACTCTGGGAAGCAGCCCATCTCCATGGCCTCGTCCTGGCCGCCCCATTTCTCCCCCACCCTCTCTGGTAGAAAGTTCAAGAAGCTTTTTTTCTTTTAATGTTTTTATTTATTTCTGAGAGAGAGAGGCAGCATGAGCAGGGGAGGGTCAGAGAGAGAGAGGGAGACACAGAATCTGAAACAGGCTCCAGGCTCTGAGCTGTCAGCACAGAGCCCGACGTGGGGCTTGAACCCACGAACCATGAGATCATGACCTGAGCCGAAGTTGGATGCTCAACTGACTGAGCCACCCAGGCGCCCCATAAAGTTCAAGAAGCTTGAAGTTAGTCCACCCAACCCCAGCCCACCCTCCCTCCATCTCCCTCCCTCCCTCCACTGCCCTTGCTACCTCTGGGCACCACGAGGCACAGAGAGAGGAGAGCAGCCTGTGTGAGGAGGGCATACGGTGGGGCCAGGGCCAAGGAGGATTGCTGGGCCGTGGATGCCAGGCTGGTGTTCCTCAGGCGCCCCGGGATTCTCCCGGGACAGTGGGGAGGCGGGGCCCAGAGATTCCGCCCTCCCCCTCCTCTGAATTAGGTGTCGTTTTTATTGTTTTGTTTTTTGGTCAGTTATGAGGAGTCAGATCCTAAGGATCCAGCAGCAGTGACAGAGGGATCCAAAGAGGGAACAGAGACCTCGGCGTCGAAGGGGCTGGAGAAGAAGGAGAATTGATGCGGCTGGTGCCTGACCCGCTGAGGGCCAGGCAGGCAGGCGAGGACGGACCAGCACAGGCCTGCTCGGGCAGAGGGCGCAGGAGGCCTGGCAGCTCCGGGAGCGGGGCCTCCCGTGGCCTGGTTCCCTCTTCCCCCTTCTCTGGCCTTCTCTGCCCCTTCGCACCCCCTGCAGGCAAAGGAAGCCCCCAACCTCCCCCACCCTCCCAGAGGCCACGTGGGGAAAGTGGGTCTGATTTTTAGATTTTTGTATTGTGGACTGACTTTGCCTTACATTAAAAATTCATCCCGTCGCCCGGGCAGGCCACGTGCCCCTGGAGGGGTTCTTTGCACCCAGCATCTTGCATTGACTTTACCAGCTCTTGCCCTCCCACCCAGAAACTTCCATGCAAGCCCCTTCCTGGGGACGGTGAACTCTCAACAGCCTGGGAGAGAGGCCCTGACCTCCAGGTCCTTCCATCCTCCTGGGTGCCCACCCAGCGCCTGGCTAGCTCAGCGCCCCATGGATGCCCTCTAGCCAGCAGAGGGGGCCCACGAGCCTGCCTTCAACCCCCCCCACCTTCTCCCTTTCAGTTCTCCTTGCCACTTGCAACATGTGAGGGCTGTGAGGCTGTGGGACAGGTGCTCTGTGTGTCACCCACCCACCCCAGCAGGTCTGCAAGGAGGGTACCGAAAAGCCGACCCGACTCAGCAAGGGGCCCGGTCTCTGCAAAGCTAGAGAAATGTGCAGGGCCTCATGGCCCCCAGGGAGGAGTTTAGGTTTTATTCCCAGGCTGGCAGGAGCCCGCTTCCCCAGGCCTGATGTCCATATGGCTTCAGCTGGAGAGCACTTGGACTCCAGGTCACCCTGGAGATCAAGCTCCCATCATTCCTGTTCTGCTCATTCCCAGAGTTCTTCCCAAACCGACTATGCAAGGCCAGAACTGATTATCCTGTTGCTAGAAGCCACACACCCCACCCCTACCCCCACATGGGGGCCAGTCACAGCACAAGGGCCAGGGCCCCTGAGAGGCCGGAGCGGCAGGACACGAGGCCCAGGGCCTCTGGGAGGTGATCCAGGCCCAAGAGCTGGAGATCCCAGAGCCGGGGTTTCTCTGAAGTTTGCTGCAGACAGCAAGCAGCCCCGACCTGCAGGCAAGTCTGCAGTGGGCAAGGCACGGGCACAGCCCTTCTCCACCTGCCCGGTGCAGGGAGAAGCGAGTGGGAGGGGGTGACCACTGGTCTGAGACTCAGGCCTCCCAACTCCCAGACCAGAGCTCTCTCCTACCCAAGCTTTGGGTTCAAAGGTTGGAAATAACTGGCTTCCAGACAGTTCGGAGGTGGCCAGAAGACAAGCATGAGCAGAGAATAGGAAGTACCCGTGTAATCACACTCCATACAGGATCTCACTTCCTTTCCGTTTTAGGCTCCGGGTGCTAGTCCTAAACCCCCTTGTGCAAATGAGACCACCGAGGTGGGTTGTCCGCGCATATGGATTGGGTATCAAGCAGTCCACACTGAATCCCAAAGTTCATAAGGACTGTGCGACTCCCCTCTAGACCCTAGGCCTGCATCACTGATTGCCGTTCTGGGCACCTTTGAGACGGCCACCCAACTTCTCTGGGCTTACAGAGAAGGAAAGGTCGGATGTCTCCGAGGTTTCTCCCAGCCACGAGGTCCCCTTCAGGGGCTTCTCGGATCCCCGCCGCCTCCAGAGGGGAGGCCGTGTGGTCCTGGAACAAGGCCCCTCTGAGGGCAGCAGATGGGGCAGGCAGCCCAGGCACACAGCATGGTTGGCTCCGAGGCCCAGGGCCCACAAAGGCTTCATTGAGTCACCGCCGGCCCCCGGCGGAGGCTGAGGTGGCAGTGGCGCCGGGCGCCTGCCACCTAATGACCGTCCTGGCCCGGCCAGATGTTCCGCAGACCTCGGCAGCGGCCATCCAGGGCCCGCCCGGCCAGCCGGCACCGCAGAGGCCACTCTAATTCCAATTAACCAGCTTCAGCTGAGCAAACAGCGGGCAGCGGTGGCCCAGCCCGGGCGGTAGGCCCGGCCCGCAGAGCCTCCGAGTCTAGACTCCAGATGTGAACCGCCACCGCCAGAGTCCCATGGAAAAATGGCACCGGGCCGGGCACGGACCGGGCCTGCACGCGGGAGGGGTAGGGGTGAGTGGCTGGGCAGGGCTCCGGGTGGGCTTTGTGCCAGCCTCACCCTGGGGTGGGGGTGCATTCTTGGGAAATTGCTCCAAAACCCCCAAGTTCTGTCCCTGATAGAGGAAGGTTCCTCTGGGGACCCCATCTCCCCTGACGAAGCAGGCAGCAGGGGGCTCCAATGGGGAGGCCGGCGCTGCGGAGAGCCCTAATACAGCTTCTTCGTTTGTATTTAACATGTTTCCAGCAATTATGTTTGGGGTTTTAAAAATATTTATTTAATCGTTATAACAGCCCTGTAAGGTAGTACCATCGTGTTTACAGATAAAGGAAATCGAAGTACAGAGACATTAAGGGCTCAGGGGGGATTTGAACCCGGGACGCTTGGCTTCCGAGACCGTGATGTTCACCACAGGTGCTGTTTGACATAAATCGGGATACTGGATTCCAGGGGAGCAGCGCTGGGGAAGAGGGTCAGCTTCTGGCCCGGCAGAGGTGGCCCCCACCCTGTGCCTGGAGGGGCCTGCCCACTCTGTCCTGTTTCCTCAGCTGTGAAATGGGTTAAGACCCTCCCAGAAGGGCAGCCCCAACTTCTGGGGTGAAAGCCTTGAGATACCCCGTCGCACCTCAGCACCAGGAAGGAGCTGGGCACCGGTCAAGTCGCTGGGCCCAGCAGGGAACCCAGATCAGGAGCCCGCTCCTGAGCTGAAACTGTGATAGGCTTGAAATGGCTGAAAAGGTGAATAATGTCAACACTTGGGGCAGGAAAGGTGCCTCCGGTTTCCACAATCCTGTCTGGGGTCCCTTCGAGGCAAGACGATGGCTTTCGAGATCCAAGAGGTCAGAGTTCATCTGTCCTTGCACAAATGAGAAGACGGAGCCCCACCCCCAAAAAACGGGCAAGCCTTACCCGGGGTCTCATAAGGAGTGGATACCGGCGGGGGGTGGGGGGAGAGGGGGCGCGGGGTGCTCCGACCCCATCCGGCTTTCCCACCGCCGGGATTCCCTCCGCGATTCCAGGCCGGGTCTTGGGAGGCGGAGGCTGCATCCTGCCCGGGTGCGTCAGGAAGGGCCGAGCGGGAAGGAAGGCACCACCCCCACCCCCGCCGCGGCCACACCTGGGCTCTCCCGGCGGGCGGGGGGCGCGGGCCGGCGCCTGGCTCCAGCGAGTCTGGGCCGCCTCCCCGCGCCGCCCCGTGGGGGCCGCCAGATGCGCCGGCCGCCCGCCCAGCTACGCAGGCAGGAAACGGCCGCGGGGGCTGCCAGGGGCGCGGCCGCGGGGGCCGGGGGCGGGGCCCGGGCCGGGGCCGCCCCCGGGGGGCGGGGCCAAGCGGCCCAGCCGTGGTGTCGGATCAGCCTGTGCGATCCCTGAATCCCCGCTCTGCCTCCAATAGCAGGGTTCCCTTGAGCAAACCCCTCCCCTTCTCTGGGCCTCAGTTTCCCCACCAGTGAACCGGGTCTGCTTATCCTATCTCTTTTCTTAGCACTCCGTCACTCGGGGCAGTTTCTTGCCCTTCTGTTCCTTGGTTCCCTTACCCGGGAAATGGGGTGACAGTGACGGGCCATCTCCACTAGAATACCAACTCTGGGAGGGCTGAGCCGTCCTCCCCGCCGTTTTAACTGAGCACCTGGCCCGGTGACCGAAAGATGAGGGCACTCGGTACCGTAGGGGCCCGACACATAGTAGGCATTTCATAAACGGACACACATTATCTTGGGTCCACGGCTTACCCGAGGTATATAGCTTCAAGCAAGTGGCTTCTTGTCTCTGAGCCTCTTTCCCCATCTACCTCGTGGGCGGCTGTGAAGATTGAGATCACCAAAGCATCTACCAGATGTGTAAAAAGAGATACTATTTGGGTAAATTTGAGGGCTAGAAAGATAAAAAGGAACTGGTCAGCTTGGGAGGAAATTTCTGTTGTATGGGTATCCTTTTGTATATTTTGTATTTTTATTTTTATTTTTTTTTTTTTAATGTTTTATTTATTCTAGGAGAGAGAGAGAGAGAGACAGCGTGAGCAGGGGAGGGTCAGAGAGAGAGGGAGTCACAGACTGAAACAGGCTCCAGGCTCTGAGCTGGCAGTCAGCACAGAGCCCGACGCGGGGCTCCAACCCACGACCCGTGAGATCATGACCTAAGCGAAAGTCGGACGCTTAACCGACTAAGCCACCCAGGCGCCCCTATATTTTGTATTTTTAAAATGGTGAGCCAACTGAACATACTTCTCAAAAAAAATACAATTGAAACAATACAAATGAAACGGAGAATAAAAAGAAATCCAACCCCAGCAGAAAGACACATTAACTATTATGTCCCTCTGGCACAGGAGGCCCCTAAAACTCAGGGAGGGTCTGAACCTGCATGGGGTCACGAAGAGCTAGGAAATGGCAAAGATGTGATTTGAATGCCAACCTGTTGGACTCCAAGTCAAAAACGTGGAGGAGAGATCGCGGCCTCCAGGAGGGATCCAGGCTGAGCGAGGGGAAAGGCCAGCAGAGTGAGAAGAAGTGAGAGAGGGGGACAGGTGAGCAGGCCCCAGGCCAGGCCAAGGAGTGTAGGTTTTCTCTTAAAGGCAGTGGGGACCCAAGGGAGGATTCTGAAGGGGGGGGGGGGGGTTTGACACAGTCGTTTCTAGGCATTAGAAATGGAGGTCAGGTAGCTACAGGGCAGCGATGGCAATGTTCTGAGTGATAAAGGGCAAGGGCAGGCCAGAGAGCGGGCCCAAGGTCATCCAGACGTCTGTCTGTAGCATAGCAGGGCCGCAACCCCAGGTGTCCCAGCTCTACTTACCAACTTCCTTTTCCTTGGAGGGTTGTGTTTTTTTTGTAATGTTTATTTTTTGGGAGAAAGAGTGCACGTGCTAGAGGGGGAGGGGCAGAGAGAATCCCAAGCAGGCTCCATGCTGTCAGCGCAGAGCCGGCTATGGGGCTCAATCTCACCAACCCCGAGACCATGACCTGACCTGAGCTGAAATCAAGAATCGGGTGCTTAACGAGGCGCCTGTGTGGCTAAGTCGGTTAAGCGTCATGATCTTAGGTCATGATCTCGCAGTTCGTGGATTCGAGCCCCGCATCGGGCTCTGTGCTGACTGCCAGCTCAGAGCCTGGAGCCTATTTCAGAGTCTGTATCTCCCTCTTTCTCTGACTCTCCCCTGCTCACGCTGTCTCTCTCTCTCTCTCTCTCTCTCTCCCAGAAATAAATAAAAATAT